CTAGTCTAGTCGAGTAAACAACTTGTGATGATAATGAATTTTGCTATTTGTGAGGGACGAGTAACCGTGCGTGTCAACGCCCGGGTACATATAGCTAGACCCGATAATAAATAAACATCATTGGTATGAGGATTCAGTTCCAACTTGATTTCTGGCCGTCGATAATTGGCGCATAAGACTAGCCAAAGAGAAATCCCAGTCATGGTTTAATGGCAACCTAAGACAAAAAGCCTCTAACTGGACCGCCCCAGGATAGGAAAATAAATATCTGAGTCAACCTAAGCTTCCAAGTCAACTTGTGAAACAGACACGGTCCTTTTCATATAATTAAAAAATTGATAAAATTTTAAATTAAAGTTAAACAAGTAATTTAAAACATATATTTCAACTTTGTAATCATATATTTCATCAATTTTTATTAAAATATTTTAAAAATATAATTTTAACTACAAATAGGAGCTTAGAACCATAAATAAATAAAAAATGATTTGATCGATTACAGAAAAACATGTAAACGTTTGCTGAACATGGGAGTCTGCCAAGGTTGAGAATGGGTGAAAGTGTAGCATTCTAGCTAGAGTAGGTTTGGGGACCAAAATTGAAAGCAATAGAGACAGATTTACTCGACAAGTGAAATTTTGGGCTGTCCATTTGGACATGGACTAGTGCATGAATTACTGATCATTTCCATGAAAATTACCGGCGGCTTGCTATAGCCGGTCACTCTTTCAACGGTTGAGATTGTCCCACTTCCACATACACTGTTTATAAACCTCTTACATTACATGAGCTAAGGACAACGGTTACAGTCTTACAGATCATCTCTTTCATACTCTCTCTCTCTCTGTAACTGTACTGTACATTAGGGTGCTCTTTTGAAGGTACGCTGATTTTACTTTTTATTTTTTATTTTTCATTTTTCATTTTTCATTCAAGTGATAGTTTTATGTTGAAAGTAAAATGATATATTTCTTGGATTTTCTTGAAACAACTAGAATTTCTGAGCTGCCTGCCTGCCTGCCAACTTTATGAATAAAAGTCTTCTTCTTCTTCTTTTAGTGTAGGAATCATCACTATTCACCAGTCGCCACTCTGTTTTTTCAGGACACCTTTATTCATTTTAAGTTGACGGGAGTTTGATTTTGTTTCTCTTTAACTAGATTGAAATCGAAATGGATCAATTTTTTCGTGAATTTTCGAGTTCTTCAAATGGAATTCATTTGGAAAATCAGTCCATGGTCGAATTGTCAGACCAGAAACTAGCGGATGGACCTAGATTTGAGATTACTTATCCAGATCAGAAGCTAGTCAATGAACAACGGTTTCAGAATACCTTACCAGCACACGATTTTGAAGGTTTCCAAATGATTCAAAATGAGCCCTTTACGAGTAGTGCAGTCTCGAGTTCTAGTTTGGGCGTTGAGGATGATTATGATCACGAAGATTGTGATTTCTCAGACGCAGTTTTGAGATACATTAATCAGATGCTCATGGAAGAAGATATGGAGGAAAAGACACATATGCTTCAAGAGTCTTTAGAACTTCAAGCCAAAGAAAAGTCATTATACGACGTTCTTGGCAAGAAGTACCCCCCTTCACCAGTACAAAACCCAAGCCCAGATGATTTCTTTCCAGGAAATCACCATCATAATAGTTCAAGTAGCGGTTACCTAATCGATGTAATTGATCCGAGGTGGACTAACAGTCATGTCGATTCTAATGCATGTCATGCTCAGTTATATACAGCATATAATGCTTCAAATTCGTCGAATAGCTTAAAGAATATTGTAGATGAGTTCTCAGACTCTCCTGTAAGTCATCTTCAGGTATCTGATATGTGTAATGAAAGTCGATGTGCGGGTGATTTCAGGAAGGGGGCTGAAGATGCAAGTAAATTTCTTCCAAGTGGGAATGGATTGTTGGTTAGTACAGGCATTCATGGAACTCGGGATCCAAATGGAGAATTTGATGTAGGAGTAGTTAAAGTGGAGGATAAAGATGAGGACGGTCACAAACAGTCACAATCTGAGTCGAAGGGGAGGAAGAATCCGCGTTGTGGAGAAATGGTTTTAGAAGAAGAAAGAAGTAACAAACTGGCAGCCATCTATGCAGAATCTACTATTCGATCAGAGGAATTCGATATTGTCTTGCTTCATACTATGGGGGATGGTCGGGTTAGATTGGCAGATTATAGGACAGAGTTGCAAAATGCTACGAGTAAGCGTAAGCAGCAAAATGGACAAACGAAAAGATCTGGTGGAGCGAAGGGCCGTGGCAAAAACCGGAGTAGTACAAAGGAAGTCGTGGATTTGAGAACCCTCTTAGTGAATTGTGCGCAGGCTGTTGCTGCTGATGATCGTCGGAGTGCCAATGAACTGCTGGAACAGATCAGGCGGCACTCGTCTCCTCTCGGTGATGACAATCAGAGATTGGCTCACTACTTGGCTGATGGCCTAGAAGCACGCTTGGCCGGCACAGGTAGCCAGATTTATAAGGCCCTTGTCAATAGAAGAACACTTGCTGCTGATTTTTTGAAAGCTTTCCATTTATATCTTGCATCGTCTCCATTCAGGAAGATTTCGAATTTTGCCTCGAGCAAGACGATTAATATCAAATCACAAGATGCCATGAGAGTTCATGTTATAGATTTTGGCATCCTCTATGGTTTCCAATGGCCCACGTTTTTGCAACGAATATCTGAAAGAGAAGGTGGCCCTCCAAGAGTTCGGATTACTGGCATCGAGTTTCCCCAACCTGGGTTCCGACCAGCAGAAAGAATAGAGGAGACTGGTTGCCGATTGACGGATTATGCAAAGACATTCAATGTACCTTTTGAGTACAACGCCATTGCAAAGAAGTGGGAAACAATCAAAATTGAGGAACTCAAGATTGAAAAAGACGAGTTTCTTGTTGTCAACTGTTTGTATCGGACGAAGAACTTACTTGACGAGACTGTGATGGCAGAGAGTTCAAGAACTGCTGTTCTGAACTTGATCAGGAAGATTAATCCTAACATCTTCATTCACGGGATTGTCAATGGGGCCTATGGTGCCCCATTCTTCGTCACTAGGTTCCGGGAGGCTTTGTTTCACTTCTCAGCCCTTTTCAATATGCTTGAAACTAATGTACCTCGTGAAAAAACAGAAAGAATGTTAATCGAGAGAGACATCTTTGGCCGAGAAGCCTTGAATGTCATAGCTTGTGAGGGCTGGGAGAGAGTCGAAAGGCCAGAGACGTATAAGCAATGGCAAGTCCGTGACTTGAAGGCAGGCTTCTTGCAAATACCTTTCGAAAGGAAGATCGTGAATATGGCAAAATACAAGGTAAGATCAACCTACCACAAAGACTATGTTATTGATGAAGACAGTCAGTGGATGTTGCTGGGATGGAAAGGACGGACAATCTATGCGCTTTCGTGTTGGAAACCTGTTTAAGAAACTAATCCCTTGTCTCGGGACGGTATTGAACAAAATTAAGGAAGAAAAAGAAGTTCAAATTTTTGTACATTGAATGGTTCATCGCATGTTTAAGCAGGTTTATGTGTCTACAATTCTTGTCCGTAAATATTGGTGATGAATGGAAGTACTATGATTCTACCATAGCGAGATCTTGCAAATTTGAAATTGTTCCATCAGCAAGGCTTACCAGACTCTGGTGAAGTCATCAAGCTTTTAATTAAATTATTTGTTCAACAGTAACGTCACTTTATTGTCAAAGCTTTGATCAAACGTCCATTGGCTAAAATAAAGCATAAAATTTGAATCAAACATCATATTCTGCACTGAAACAAAAAATATTAAAAAAATGTGACAAATAGAATCACCACTGAGATTCTAAGTATTGCAATTAGGTATTAATAATTGTTTAATAAACCCAGGTTTTAAGTGGATGAGCGGATCATGTTGACTTTAGTGCCATGATAGTGATATAGCTTGAATTAATTAGCAATATAATTATAAGCCATCCTAGGTTTTACACGTCAAGAGTGGTAGTCCTTGTTATCTACTTGTTATTGCTCTTTTTTTGCCTTAGGAGTTTGTTTGGGAGTGATTTTGAAAATTGATTTTTTGATCGTTATAAAAAAAGTGGGATCCACCTGTGAAAGAAAAAGTCAAATATGACAGCTGGAATGGTGAAATAACGATCAAAAAATCATTTTTTTGGAGAAAAAATTACTCCTAAACAAGCTCAAGAAAAATCCTTCGCTAGAAGAGTTCAAAGTCTAACTGCACAGTACATAATGGGTACATATTTTTTCAAGATTGCCGCCCATTTCGTGAGATTTTAAAAGGGAACCGCCCTTATTACCGAAGAAACAATGGTGCAATACTAATTGGAATGAATGTTAATACTTTATTCACTTTACAACATGACATCTTAGTGTGTTAAACTAATATGATACATATTTGTCATCTCTCGATAAACTCTTCGAAAGTGTTAAAAAATTACATTCTCAACACCCATCTAGTAAGATCGAGATCAAGTGACAGTTCTCATAAAAAACCTTCTTCTATTCCAGGTCAATTTTAATTTCAACTTCCTAAATTGATTGAGCAAACAAACTAAATGGTGCTATAGTTTACCTTTTTGGATCGCTCTCTAATCTATATATAGTTTTTATATTAATGGTTATTTAGCCTCAGTTTGAGCCCTATTTTTCCAAATCTTATTTTTTCAAAACTCATTTTCAACTACATATTCATAATTAATTTTACATATAAACCCAAAACTTTTTATCTGTTTTTAACCACACATTTTCCAAAAAATCACCATTCCAAAATGGGTCTCAAACAGGGCAGTATAGACTGATATCATCTGGATCTTGACCACCACACTGGTTAAGACAAGTCATTAATTTGGTGAAGCACAGTGCACTGCACACAACACCGAGTAGATTGAGAGTTCGTTGTCCAGTTAGTGACGAAACAGGCGTCAATACTTCAACAGTCGAATCAAAGGAACAACTCTCGTTATTGTAACATCAAGATAAAGGAAAATGCTTAGTATGGAAGCGCAGGCAGTGTTCAGTAAAAGCTCAAATCCAACCATATTCTCAATTCCATTTAACAACGTTATCCATAGCTGAAATACTAGTGAGCACATCGAACTTTTGATTACACATAAAAGCTGTTATATATGCATCATAGATATACGAACAAACCCAATCTTGTCATGTAAACAAGGAAAGAGCTCGTTTTGTTCAAACATAATTTATTAAGTTACTTCAACGTGCAGACAACCGCAAACAGATAGCTTATTAATCAGAATCGAGTACTGATCTGGGAAAACAGAGCCTTGAAATCTTTAGTTGGCGAGCCAGTTCCCTCGGGTTTTGAGGCCAAGTCAAATGCTTTGAATTTCGATTCTTCAAAGTTTAGTGCCTGTCGTAATATTTCAAATTAAAACCAATGAGAAACCAAGATAATAAAGTGCAGATAGAAGACATCACATTCAGGGCGAACCATAATAGAAAATAAGGGTTTTAATCCATAACATAAAGTTCTACAAGTAGTTACCTGAATGCAGACTTCTGCTACATCGGCTCTAGCAATACTCTTCGTTTCTGTCTGAAGAAGTTCATCATCCTTTCCAACAAGTAGCTCCCTTACACCGCCTTCTTTATCCTGCAAGCCCCCAGCCCTACACCAACCAAAGAAAAGTAATTGCCAAACTATGAACAGACTGAAAGAAAAATGTTAAGAGCATAAATTCTCAGTGAGTTTGCATTGCGCATATGATTAAAGTATCTATTGTATTGTGGAGCTTAATTATACAATTCATATGTACCCACAGACTGTGGATTGATCTAGTAAGGGTACACTGGACATTCATAATTTTGTATTTACCTTAATATCCTACATTATATAAGGAATCTGGGGGAAGGCTTTTCTCTGTGATAAGGAGCTACAAGGACAATTTTATTATCTCTTTCTTCATTGTAGTGAAAATCTGTAGCATCAAGCGGAATGAACTACCACAAATTTGTGGTATTTCCGTTATTATTGCTCTTGTTGTTGAGAGTAGCGCTTATTCATCAATAGTATCAACATCTAATTTTGAAGCCCAAGATATTCATAGTTGATTATAATGGGATTATGAGCTAACATCTGATTTGCAAGTTTTTTTAACCTCGCAATTGCTTAACTGAATGTTTAGAAAAGGAGTCCCTTGATTTTCCCATGACAAATCTTTTAACATATGTAAGGTTATCAGAGTATTGAAAACAACTGGCAAATGTGAATTATTACGAAGCTTATTACACAATTGTTAATAAGTACCATAATGGTTTGGTCACATAAACCTATTTGGGATCTTCAGTCGCATGCACAGAGATCTGCAGTATTATTTTTGTTTGTTATGATGATTGCATGGATATTAAGTCTTCCCAGGATTAAAAGAAGAAATTAATAAAATTTTATTTTTATTAAGAGATTATCACTGAATTTTGTTACTATTAAATCCTAAAGCACCATGTGATTTTGTGTAAAATCTTTTAGTAGGGTGTAGAAGGGAGTATAAATAAGCATACCTGATAATGGTGTACGGGGTTCCAGAGTCAGCCAAATATTGTTCTGCCTTTCTCTTCCAAATCTGTACTCAAAATAAAAGTTATTTTTCAATGGAAGTTGGGAGGAGAGCAAGTGATTTATAGGAGAAAATAAGCACAGGTCGAGTAAACATGTCACTCAAGTTCAACTGGCCCTAAAGCGATGCTTTTTGTTCAGAAACATACCCCAGGATTTTTTCGTTTATTAACATAAAGATTATGTAAAAACCTCCACTTAAATAAGACTTGATTAGCCAAAAGATTTTTTTTTCCTTCAAAAATATAAGGGGAATATATAGGATGGGAACTCAATTTTATTCTACAGCTGAGAAGCCAAATACTGCAATATCTCAGCTTCCAAGAAAAATGAGATTGAAATCCATGTAGATGAACAAAAGGAAGAGTTTGGAAGAAGGAAAGAAAACTACCAAGAGAAAAAAATGCAAAATGGAACAATCAAAATGCAGGGACGCAACTTCAGTCTTGGGACATAAGAGAGAAGCAGTACATGAAAAGAGGCGATAAAGAAAAAGAGAATCTAGGTAAAGGGAGTACAAACCAATATGTTTCCATTTCCCAAGCTGTTTAAAGGATGGTTTTCAATAGTTCCTCCCATTGATCCAACCAACACAATATGCTTCACTCCAGCAGCTTTTGCTGTTCAATCCATGCACATATTTTTCAGTACAGGGCAGAGTAAGGAAATTATTAGAAACTGTAAAATTAATATTGTTCCTCACCGGCGTCTATTTGGTTCTTTTGCCCAATCCAATCAACCTACAAATGTAAGCTGAATCAGTGAGATGAAGCACAATGTTACCTCGAACAGAAACTCTGCTAGGACAATTTTTGGCTAAGCTAAAACGCTTATTTTCTTAGTAAATAAGTGAGTTTTGAAATAACATTTTTGAGTGGTTAAGGTAGAAGATAAGTAGGTTAAGGTAAGAGTACTTTCCAAATATGTAACATTTTTCTCTTGAAAGTAAAAAAGAAATTAAAATTACCAAATATGTATAAAACAAAAGTTATTTCGAAGTAACTTTCAATTTTTAATGCGTGGCCAAACACACTCTAGGTTATAGTTGATACCTGTTCAGGATAAGCTCCATCGTCAAAACAGAATTCCGGCCTTCCACCTTTAGCTGGGTCAAACCCGGGTTTTATCTTTGGCACGGCACTCGTGAGAATGACAAGAGCATCGATACCTTGGATTGCTGGAATGATGCTTTCTGCATTTCTTATATCCCCAATGCAAACATCATCTGCTCCACCAATTTTTTCCTTGCTCTCCTGAGTTCTTACCAAACCTCTAGTAGTATACTGCTCTGATCTCTCCTTCAGTTTCTTATAAACAATTTGTCCTGAAAATGAAATAATCAAATCACGCTAAAGCCTGTCAGCAGAGGATTTTGGAAGTGTAATTGTGTGGAGATAAGTCTCATTTTTACTTCAAATTATTGTCATCCTGCAAGTGCAAAAGTATAAATCTAACAGAACTGATGCAACACTACAATTATATCTTGAGTCTGTGGACAAGATAACATATTTGTCGATATGTGATTAGATTCACGAAATCACAATATGTTGCTGTTAGGCTGATTTCCTGTATAAATCAGATATTATATGACACAAGCAAGCAGACAACAAAGAAACAAAGTAGCATATGCAAGATTTATTTGGTCCTATATAGATCTATCATCAATGATATACGGGTGGCAGAGGACCAAATCCCAACAGGAATAAACAGAAGATCACAAAATGGAAAAATAAGTCTCTCAAACCTAAATGGACCAGCCTTCTACTTTCACAAACTAAAGCTTATATGCTCTTGCTCAGAAACATGAAGGTCAACAATTGTATAATTCAGGCACGGATACAAGCATCTAAAATAGTTATTCTCCAGAAGCCTCCAACAAAAACCCTGAGGCGATGAGCAGGTACTCTCAATTTGTCAATTGACCTGGAAATTTATGTGACCTTTTCCACTTTTTCCACACGGCTCTCCCTCATATACCCAGGATCTGCACATTTTTGAAAAATTAAATTGGAGTAAACGACTCTATTGCAACAGCTTCGAAGAGCTTGTCAGAGGAAAAAACTTAGGTCAGCTCATTGGCCAAGAAAGCGAGGAGTTTGGAGTGGGTGAATCAACTGGATGTACTCAATAAATCAAGACACTAAAAAATAGAAAACCTTACTAGAGAAGGAGTAGGATAACTTAGAAATGAAAATGATGGTACGGATAGCAGCCAGGCATTATAGTGTTCAAAAACTTTTCAGATCTTCGCTGTAGTACTATCAAGGACCATCTAACTCTAGGGCTATGAAACAGCTGCAGAATTTTGTAAACCGTCTTCAAACTTTAAACTTGTTGTTCTATTAAGAATTACTCATTACCATTTCAACTGATTGTCAGTATACTGATTGACGTCTACTATTATCACATCAGAACTAATAGGTTCTTTCATTTGGTTTTACTTGACATAACGCTTCTATACCAGCCTCCCAATGCAGACATCCAGAACATCCCAGAAAATTTACTATCTTGTGAGTAATGGCCAACCAAAGGACAACAGCAACTCTTAATATCATTGTTGAACACGAAAGAGTAAAGTTTAATACGGAAATTTTCCTTTAAATACAACTCCATGAGAGTGGGAGTGGAATACAAATGTCACATGCCCATCCTCAGGAGCAAGCAAAAGAAAGGCCAATCCTAAGGCCCCCAACTGCCTTAGGCTTTTGTTATATTGTGAATCACCTATACTGAACGTTCTATAGTAAATATCGATCATACATTTCATCTTCTACAAATAAAATTTCGTGAATTCTGCGAAGGAACACGACATAGATTGTCACTTACCTAGACTCGATGACATAAATTGTCACTTACCTAGACTCGATGTCATAAAGTTCCAGATATTCACATGAAACTCAACCTCCTGAATCCAACACAATCCATACATAACCGAATTCTCAAGAATCCAAATAACAAAATTCATCATAATGCTAACCGTCTCATCTAAAAACACGCTTCGATTTAACATGTTGATAATCTGTACAATACAACCCCAGATAACTAATTCCACAAAAATCCAAAACCACAACCAACCCACAATCGCCCTTGGGCACATCACAACCAACAAAAATACACATATATAGCACCAAGAATTGTAATCAATAGCAAAATAAAGAGCCTTTACCAGTTCTTCCACCCGCTCCAGTAACAAGAACCGCGCTTTTGTTCGATTCAGCCATTTTAAGCACCAAAATCTCCTTTTCCTTTTACAAAAAAAAAAATGGTAATGAAGAAGAGAATTCTGAAAGTCCAATGGTACTGGTAGTGTATTAATAATAAGTTAACCAAACCAGACCACCCATATTTAAGGCTGGCAGTTGAAGATGAAGGCAGGGGGACACGTGTCACGCTGCGGGCCATTCTAGTCACACGCATTTCTGTCCATCGGATGGTCGCTCGTGAGTCGTGATTGAATTGTGCGAGGGTTTACCTTTCAAACCCGCCGCTGGTTGTGATGGTAACTCCAATAGTCAAAATTGAAAATGGTGGTTAATCAAATTGAATGTGACGAAAAAAATCAAATCATGGATAGTGCAATGGAGTGGTTATGATATTTGATTTTAATAATTCTAGACGGGGCGAGGCGGGTATGGCATTTGCGTCCTCGCCCTACCCAGAATCGATTACTGTTAAAAAATTTTTTGACAATTGACTTTCTATTATTCTTTCTATTATAACTTGTCTAGCTCAAAATTCATGGCCCATAAAATAACCTAACCCAATTGTTACTTACCCGTTAAATACTAACCCTACTACAAAGAAATTTGGAATCAAATTCAACAAGATATTAGTCGATAATCGCCTTCACTCGAGTCTCTGCAGTGCGTCCCCAAATTTTTTTTCTCCACATCGTATTTGTTTGCTCGCTATCGCCATCCCCAAATAGAAGGGTATTTTATATTTATTATTCATAACCTTTTTTTATTGCTAATTTTTTTCTTTTGTGTGTGTAGAAAATTCTGTTCCTTCATCATATTCCAGAGTTTGTGCAAGGTTTGATGACAAGGATATTGACGAAGAGGTATATTTTTTGTTTAAATCTAATTTAAGACTATTCTGGGTTATGTAGTATGTTTGTATTATTACTCTACTTACATTTCTTATTTACTATATAAAAATTAGCTTTGAGTTTTTAAGTATGCTAGTAAGAGTTGTGGGGAAGAATGAAGAATATGAATTGAAGTTGGAGCTTTTGAGTTATTGAGTAGGAATTAAGTTCGATACACAAGGATTTTGTGATAAAGATATTGTTTAGTATTGTTATGTTGATAATGTTGTTTGTTAAATTCGGATTTTACATTTGAGAATTGTGATATTGTTTACATTTTTATTTGAGATGTGTTTGCTACATTGGCTTAGTATTATATTTTTGTTTTCATTGACTTTTTTTCATAAATTGTTTTTTAAATTTGACGGCTAGACTTATAAAAAATAATTTATTTTCACGATTATTAATGACCTGAACCGAGTTGAACCGAATAGATTTACGTGATTATGGTGCAGTTATGATATGATCAAAAATTGGTGGTGCGGTGATGATTTTGGCCTAATCAACTCCGAACCGAACTGTTGCCAACCCTAATGTCCGACTAACGTTATGAAATTTAGCTCTTGTTTTGCTATGATTTATGAGTTATGCTACACAAATAAGGTTGGTACTTGGTAATAGAGTTGGTGACAGTATAACACGTGTCGATTATTCATTGGACAGTTTGAAAAAATAAAAAAAATCCAAACAAGTGCCAACACGCAAGCACCTATCACCTCTCTTCTATCACCAACTCGGCCAAATATATCTTTGCTATATTGCTCATGATTTATAGTGATTAAATTATTTTTTATCCATATATTTTGTGAAACTCATCAATATTCTATTTATAATTTAAATCAAGTTTACAAATAGTAAAATATATAAAAATGACTAATATACCATTAATTGTGAATTTCACAAAATGTGTAAATAAATCCATGATGAGAAATGCTAAGCCTTTGTTTGATATTGATTTAGCCCTTGATCACTTCCACAATCACTTGAACCACCAAAACGATGAATAATATCTAGTGTGTCTAAATGTCCCATCTCTTGAGTACTAATCTCATCCTTATTTTCATTGTCATCTAAAATACAGAAATAAGAAACAATATATTAGATAAAAATACATGACTACTGTGAAAAAAAAAAAACAATAAGTTAAAATTATTACACTTACGAACCTTGGACATTATCATCAATTTCATGATCGTTAACATTGGAAATTCATAAATAGCATTATCTAAATCTTCATACTCGAAATCTTGTGGTGACACTTCTTCCTCTATCCAAAAGTTTGTTTTGTCAATAAATTCATAATCAATTAGATCATAAGATCTCTTCTTATAATAACGTCTATAAGGTTGTAAATGAAAATTAGTCATATTAAAAGTATATATCAAATAAATGAGTCATTAAAAAAAACTCTAAACTCGGCAAAAAGTTTAAGATTATATACATATTCTTCAATCGCAAATTATACGTAACATAGACAAGATCGCTGAGTCTTTGACACTCCAATCTATTTCTTTTTTGGGGTGAATACGTTCAAAGACACTCCAATTCCTTTCACATCCCAAAGAAGAAGTTGTTTGACCAAGAATTCGAGCAGCTATCTTTTGCAAACTAGGAGCCCTTGAGCCACATAATTTCCACCATTCATTTGCTTATTTTAATAAAATTAGCTTTAAGTGCTAAGAAATATTAAAAATAAACAACAAATGATTAAATAAAAATTCTCACCAGGTTGTAATGTTTTTCTAGTATGACATGCAGATTGTCTTCCAAAACTCCCTTCACGTTCTTGATACATCATTATCTCCCCCATTGCTTTTGTCCCATCACCACAAATGCTTTTGATTTCAAGCAAATTGAATAGGCTTTGAATGACTTCTACTTTTTGACAAAATCCTTCTTCATATATCAAAGTACGATTAAAAAAATAAGCTGCTGCATGTATGTTAAGACGAAGATGTTTATCCCACCGCTCTTTAATTATATCAGTGTAAGGTTTGTACAATCTCTTCTTATTTAAGAATATATTCTTGACTCCTTTTCGTGCCCTATGCATGCCATCATATACATAATCTAATGAAGGTTTTTCATCTGAATCTACAATTTGTAACAATTTTATGATAGGAGCCACAATTTTAACAAGCATCAAACAATCATCCCAAAACTTGTTATCCAAGATGATTGAGCTCACAAGTTTTCCATTTCCGCTTTTTGAAAGTCTATGACTTGTAAAATGCCTACTTGTTGTCAAACTCTGCAATGCTTGTTTGTGATCATAAATGCTTTTCAATGTAATAAAAGTGGTAGCAAAACAAGTCATAACTGGACGTACAATTCCCTCCATTCCGATATTTTTCTCAACCAAGACAAAAAAATTGTGTGATTGTACACAAATATTGTAATTTTCAAGCACGTAATGCAAGGGAATGTACGTAAGGCATACTACTAATATCTTTTAAAATAAGATTCAAACAATGCGCACAAGGAGACCAAAAAATGTGATCATAACTCTCGTGCAATAATTTCCCTACTGCCACATAGTTAGCTGCATTGTCAGTTACCATGTGAACTACATTACGAGGTCCAACCCATTCATCTATCTCAGAAACACAAATTACACAGTGTTTGAGCATCTTTCACTACATCTGATGCATCATGAGATTTTATAAATACAATCCCAAAAGAGCAATATACTAAAAAATTAATCAATATTCTATGTCCTCGATCGGTCCAACCATCAGCTATAATTGTGCATCCATTATTTATCCACTGACTTCAATAAGTGTCAACAAGCAATTGGCTCTCTTTCTTGCAATCTCTCAACAAATTAACACGAATGTCATTATAAGATGGACCTTTAAATCTTGGACCAATTACAACAGTAGCATCTAAAGCAAGTTGAAAGTAAGGTGATTACAAAACATTAAATGAAATGCAAGCATCATAAAACCACCTAGCCCAAGACACATGGGCTCTCTTTATTGCTTGTTTACCAGCTAAAACATTTTTTAAACTAGGCCGAGATCCAAGAGTAGTCCTTGGAGCAAAATATGTTTCAATCTTCTCACTAGCTTTCCTTTTCCCTTTTTCTTGCCTTTGTTTTTCTGAAGACACGAGCATTTCTTGAATTTCCTCTCCTCCAATTTCTAAATCTATATAATTATCCCCAAAAGTACAATCATGAGCCTATTTAGCATCTAGTTTCTTTTGAGATATATCTTTAAGAACTCCTCGAAATTTAAATCTAACATGAAAATGAACTTTCTCACATTGAAATATGTGACCTTTAATTCCAGCAAGATGGTATTTTACTCTATTAATTTTCCCACCTTTAAAGCTACTGTCGCAATAAAGACGTGTAACGAACTTTATCGTCAATGTCACGACTAGACGAGAAGTGTTCTCTTGTAGGATAAGTCTTTGCCCCGCTAGAAGGTGTGGAACATATAGATTACCTTTTCGAAGATTGAGAATTGCTGTCTATCCTAATTCCTAAGTAAAAGTAAGTAACAAAACCATAAACTAAAAGAACCCCAGTATGACATATTACAATTACCACTAGAATTTTCAAAGCAAAAAACTAAGTAAGGCAGGTGAAAAAAGGAACAAAACTCAAGTTCCTTTATTGATGGCCAAGTTTGGGATTAAACAATGGTACAACCCAAAATCTATACGTTTACTATATGAACAACTGAAAATCCAATCAGCAAGTCATTAATGAAGAAATTATAGGAAGAAAAAAAAATTGATAAATTTCACGAAGCAAATATGAAAATTGTTGTTGGAAAACTACAAAATATAAAAACTAAATAATTCCTATCCCTATATTAATTGAAATCTTGGAGTAAAAGATAAAAAATTTTGGAAAAAAGGAAGAACACAATCAAAATGACAGTGTGTAGAAGCTATAAACTAAAATTGGCTTGAAAACTGAAAACTTGAGAAGAGAAACTTAAAATCTGTTCAAACCATACTCCATAGATGCGGCCCACTGACCGAAGAGGAGAGAGATTGAAAATTGTTTGAATTGAATTGAAAGTAGAAAGTGGAAACTGAAAATAAGGGTTTTCTTTAATTTCACGGCCCACGGGTTCCTTATAACCAGGAGAGGGTCGCGTTTTTCATATGACTTGGCTGGTCCGACGAGTTCCTATGCGATTTTTAAATTACAGGGTTTTTAATTCAAATAGAATTGAATTTCGGACCAATTCCCAATTTTCCAGATTGAACTTGCCGGTCCGGTCCGATTTTTAAAACATTGATACAAACTTCTCGATGGTGCCCTCACCCTCATATTTACAAATCTAAGCATTTTTTTCTCATGTTATGCCACCAACCATATTTCCAAACATAAGTTTGACGCTCGATTGAAACTGTCCATATTTCTTGGCCACCCACAAGGAAAAAAAGGTTACAAGGTCCTTGACCTTGAAACTTATTGCATTTTTTCCTTACGAGAAGTCTTTTTTCATAAACACATTTTCCTTTACTTGTACAACCAGCGAAAATCAAGACGACGAACCCGTGCTTCCTAACACCTTCACCTTACATCCAACCATGGAATCAAGCCTATTACATTCGACCCATGAACCAAAATCGATCTATATTGCTGCCCCCATTCTTGACACGTAAGAACCAATCAACTTAATTTCCAAACCAAATCATGACACCTCACCAACCCCACTCTCAGTACTCTCAACACACACAAGTTTCTTCCCCATCGCCTCACCCAATCTAGATAATCGAAGCTACTCAACCATCTCCACCACTTCCTTTATGCCGTTCAAATCGACTCACCAAGCCTCCACAAAAAATCTAGGATTTTCAAACTCATCATGTTGCTTTCCTTATTCTCGAGCTCGTCTCCTCAACCATGCCGCACACACAATATTCATCACAACAATATGTTTTCTATTTCACTCTTTCTAATTTTCATCAGAAGTTTGTGCACAATATCTTTCATTTGGTCGAACTAGCATCGTATGAGCAGGCCTGTACAGATCCAAAATAGGTTGTTGCTATGCAAGCCAAAATTCGAGCACTTGAGGAAAACAAAGACATGGACCATGATACAACCATCAACTAGTCACTATCCCACTGGTTGTAAGTACAAAATCAAGTACCACTCGGAAGGCTCCGTTGAACGTTATAAAGCCCGACTCATAGCTAAAGGCTTCAGACAACTTGAGGGCATAGATAAAATGAGACTTTTGTTTTCGTTGCCAAGCCCATCATCGTTTGATGCCTCTTAGCCGTTGCTATCGTTTGAAACTGGCATCTTCACTAAATAGATGACTAAAATTAGAGGTAGGCAAAAATCAACCCAAACTGCTCGGTTTGGGTCGATTTTTGCAATGAAATGGGTTGGGTTCAGGTTATTATTTGCCATTTTTTGTCGGGTCGAGTCGGGTTAGGTTATGGGTTACCCTTTAAACCCAAACCCAACCCGCCCAACCCGATCGATACGGAAAATTAATATAAAAAAATGTGTTGAAAAGAGAAAACAAAAAACGTTTATTTCCTCCTTCCCATTTCCATTTCCCCTTAAAGAAAACCCTAGTCTTCTCCAATTCATCACATGAAATTCCAAACGCAGCTTTTTTCTTCCCCCTTTCTCGACACCAGTAGATACCGTCGGTCTCCACACCACCATCTACAGCCAGGGGACCTAAGCACCTAACGATATATCCGTTTCTAACCAAGGTGGGTTTATTTATTTATTTATTTTTTAAAACGTGGATTAAATTTTTCATATAGTATTTGAAATGAGGTTATGACTTTTATTCTTGTTTTGTCATTCTTAATAATTTATATGTTTTGTAATATTTTTCCGACTTATGTGGATGAATTTCTATGATTGTGCAATGTTTGATTTGCTTAGAAATTAGGTAGTGGAAAAGAGATGGAAGACATAAATAAATAAAAAACTCAAAGTTCTGTCGAAGCATTATTAATCTATAGATCTTAAAGACCTTGTAGAAAAATTGTCAATTGATTATGCTTTATTACTTTAGTAAGTTTGGGTATTTATTGGTAATCATAGTTCCATTTCAATTTTATGGTTCTTGGAAGGCCATAGTTGAAGTTTATGCTTGATTTGCTTACTTTCCCTTCAAAAAAATGAAGAAACACAGTCTACGTTTGGACATTAATTAAAAAAAAAATTTATTTTTTCAATTTATGTTGCTTCTATTTGGAATAAGGATATACTTTTATGGATACATTCTTCTAAACTGTGCTATTCTTTCTCAATATAGGATATGCTTTTCAAAGTCAACGATGTTTCAGGAACTTTTCCTCTCCTCACTCAACACACAATCCCAAGCTTTGAATGTGGTGTCTAGCAGGTTGGCAAATTTATTTTATCTTTTATGCTAGCTTCTTGCTCTTTTATCATTTATGTTAGTTTAAACATTTTATATGCATTTCTTAATTTGGTCTTGGTGTGTAATCATCTGACTACCTTCCTCATTTTCTTTGCATTTTGATGAATGGAAGGACAAACCCAATTCCATTATTTAAATTAAGTATAAAGAAGACATCAAGACCCAAAATTTGGATAACTTTAATCTTCATTGACAAGTTGCCCAAACTGACCAATCCAAACCAACCCGATCGATACTTGATTGGGTCGGGTTTTAACCTTACATGGGTTGGGTTGGGGAAAAATCGACCCAACCCAGCCCACGCCCACCTTTAACTAAATTGCAATTTTTCATGGTAATTTGTTTGAGTAAGTTTATATGCAGCCTTAGCTAAAGTTTTGTCAACAAGGAAAGAAGATTGTATGTCAACTAAAAAAGTCTTTACATGGACTAAAGCAGGCCTCCTGAAGCTGGTTTCTTCATTTATTGCCAACGTTAGGTTCCAGTAGTGGGAAGTTGATTGTTCCTTTTTTGTCAAGGTTGAAAATACATCTTACACTGCTATTTTACTTTATGTCGATGATAAGATCATTGCAGGGAATGATGAGGCAGCCATATGTGACCTTAAACACTTTCTCAACACTTGCTTCAAAATCAAAGACCTAGGACCATTGAAATACTTCCTAGGACTTGATGTTGCATGATCCGCATCACCATTTGTTAGAAAATACACTTTAGACTTACTGGAAGAGCTAGTTTGCTTGGTGCCAAAGCCACAAAATTCCCAAGGGAATAAAACTTGTAGCTTAACCTAATAGATAACAATGCTCTTTGAGACCCAACACAATACCAACGACTCATTAGAAATTGATTTTCCTCACAATCACATGACGAGAGATCATATACTCAATTGTCACTCTTTGTCAATTCATGCAACTTCCAAGAGGACTTCACCTTGGAAGTTGATATTTCACGAGCGCACAAAGCACGTAGAACTGGATTGTCGTGCCATTTGAGAAAGGATATAGAAAGGAGAAATCAGAACCACACATGCAAATTGTGAACACCTTTGCAAAATTGTTGGGATAATCAACTTTTCATTCATATGTTAGCAAGTTAGGTGTGATAGTCATCCACACTCCAACTTGAGGGGAGAAATCTGCCAATTTTCCTAGAATAGATTCCCATTTGATGTATATAATTCCAAGTATTGTTGCTCATTGTAATCAACCGATACATAGAAACAATTTTTTCCAATTTACATATTCTACCATTCACCATTTTTATAGCGTCCTTGAGCACCACATATAGTAATAAATGTTTTACAACTTAAACAAATTTATTTATTCATATTTTAGATTAATTTTTACGAAATCTATAAAGTACGTCAATAGGATTATTAATGTATATGATTTTGAATAATGTTATCTAGTATCAACCTACGTGACATTATATGATATGTTCAATTAAAAGTGAAAATATGTAATTCATTTAATTGTGACTATCATTACATGACATTTAGTGTTACCTATATTGATGTTGCAATATCAATGATGTTAAATAATATTACTCTATGACTTTTGAAGTTTAAAAATGTATTTGAATTGGTTTCGTAATAAAATTTCAGGACAGTCAGTCCTTGTTACCAAAATAATTATTTTAGCTACAAATGAGAAAAATATTACCTCATAAACTGGAACGAAATTTTTTCTAAAAAAGTATGGGAAACTCAAGCTTAGGTGCCCTATGTTTTTCAAAATGTAGCAATCAGTTATACCTATTATTTATTGCAGCCAAAGTCCTCAACCTATGGCTTTGGTTGCAATGCAGTTCTCATTGAATAGAAAGTGGTCAACAGGAAATGAAACTCTCATGTCACAAACCTTTTTGAATCATTTAAGCCCTGTTTGGCCCCCATTTTTTGAAGTAAAAATGGATGGAATAGTATTTTTTTGAAAAATGAATGGTTAAAAAAGAAATAAAAATTTTCGATTTACGTGTAATATTATTTTATGAAAGATTGTGTGGTTAAAAATATGAGAGAGAAAAATGAAATGTAATGAAATTTAATTTAATGAGAGCCAAACGGGGGTTTAGTAACAATTTTCCATGGAGAGGTTTGATTGTGACCAGTCACAATCAAACTAAAGAAATAAGACTAGGGATCTAAGTACAATATCTAGAAAATGTTTGGGACCAGGATTGTAATTTCTCATATATTTTGTCAAACGTCAGCTGACACTTTTTCTAACATCAAATACACGTGGCATTTGAAAGCAGAAACATCCGCATATAGAGAGAGAGAGAGAGAGAGTACTTCTATTCATTTCACGCATTGATTCATGTCACAGGGTTTTTATATATCGCCTCAGTTCCTTCCTTTCCCATCTTCAATCTGTCTATATATATGTATCCAATTTTCAGTATTTATAGGTTGACGTTGAAATTGAGTTTCAACCCTGGGGAGTGCTAACTGCGCTGTTATTAAGTGTAATTGAGTTGATTAGATTCTGTCGATGTTCGAAATGGATACTGTTTCGTCGCCGAAATCCTGCATTAAAGCTCATCGCCGTCGCGTTCTTCAGGTACCGAAATTTAGGAAAAAGGAATAGACAATTAAATCTTTTATGCGAAATATATGATTGAAATTGTTGAGGAAGTCAATTCTTTTGTTATTTTGGAGATTTAATTCTGCTAAAACATGAATAGATTCTAGATTCTAGAATTATTTACGGGTAGCTAAAAATTAAGGGAAATTTAAGCCAGATAACCGAAAAATTGATTTTTTTTTTCTTGCTAGGAATTTTTACTCATTTTGGATGTAGATTACTGGATTTTTTTCTTATTGAAAAACACACACGTTTTACCTTTTATTGTGTATCAGAGGCTTTCACGACTTGGAGTCCCTGAGGAGTATCTGAATCAAGGACAGATTGGTCTGGTTGCCTATGCAAAGAGAAACAGATTTCTTATAGCAGAGTTGGTCTCCTCTATTTTGCCTACGCAAAAGGATGCAATGGGGGCTTCTTTGGAGCCTCTTGATGGCATAAAAGAAGACGATGAAAATATATTTCGTGAAAGTATGGTTTGGTTGATGTGGTTGATGTTTGAAGGTGAGCCAAACATTGCTATGGATCACCTGGCTAAAATAAGTGCTAGTCAGCGTGGTATTTGTGGAGCTGTTTGGGGAAGCAACGATATTGCATACCGCTGCCGGACTTGTGAGCAAGATCCAACTTGTGCAATATGTGTTCCCTGTTTTGAAAATGGAAACCACAAGGACCATGATTACTCTGTGATATATACATCTGGTGGGTGCTGTGACTGTGGAGATATTACTGCATGGAAACGTGAAGGGTTTTGTTCAAAACACAAAGGTGCGGAGCAGATACAACCTCTTCCAGAGGAGTTCGCTAAGTCTTTGGGCCCTGTTCTGGATGCTTTACTTAGTTGTTGGAAACAGAAGCTAGTTTTTGCTGGAATCAACTCCAAAGAAAGTCTTAGAGCATCTGATATTGTTGCTGAGCTCCAACACACTTCAGATGAGTTGACATCGGCCGTGGTGGAGATGCTACTTTACTTTTGTAAACACAGTGAAAGTTTACTTTGTTTTATTTCTGGCAGAGTATACTCTTCAGTTGGCTTGTTGGAGGTTCTATTGCGGGCAGAGAGGTTCATTACTGATGGTGTCACTGGGAAGCTCCATGAACTACTTCTGAAATTGCTGGGTGAACCTCTATTCAAATATGAATTTGCGAAAGTGTTCATAGGCTATTATCCAACTGTTATTAATGAAGCAATAAAAGAGTGCAGTGACACTGTCTACAAAAAATATCCTCTGCTATCACTATTCTCTGTGCAAATTTTTGCAGTTCCTTCCCTTACTCTGCTCCTTGTAGATGATATGAACTTGCTGTCCATGTTGTTTGAATGTTTAGGAAATATATTCATTTCTTGTGCGGGAGAAGATGGGAGGCTGCAGGTTATGCAATCTTTCTTCCCTATTTCTTTTAGTCCATGTTAATTACCCATTCTAATGCACACACTTCCATGATTATATGAAGCTGTTGCTTTTTCTTTGAGCGGAATAATTTTAGAACTATTAGCTTCCACTTGAGAACTAAATAAAAAAAATAATATTTGTATTTTGTACGAAAACTCTAATGGATCGTATATATCATCCTTACTTGTCAGGTTTAGTCAGTTTACTGATAAATTTACCCTCTTTTGCACATTTACAAGTGACGTAGAAGAGTTAAGCACATTCTTTTGGTTCACCAGTCGTTTTCTTTGCCCTGCATCAATATACAATACTTTTATATGTAAAGTTGGAAGCTGTTTATTGTACATGTTGTTTGGGTATTGCTTCGCTCTCCTTATGATTAATATTTTGCATGTCAATGATTGCTGCTGGAAACTTTGGCTACTTTCTCTTCCCTTAATTTCTCCTATCTCCTTTTCTTATTTGACATAATTATGGTGTGGACGCAAGTGTGGATTATCTCTCTCTCTTTTTTTTTTTTTTTTGATAAGTAATCAAGTAATTTTATTAATCAGAGGATAATACATGGGAGGTGTATTATCAATTTTAACAAGAAAGAAACTACATGAAGTTAGGTAGCTCTTCTATAGGATTGGTGGCTGCAATATTAAACCAAGCATACAAAGTCATATAAAACAATTCTCTAAACTGCTCCGTTGTTCTTGTTTGGTCTTCAAAATAATGACTGTTCCTTTCTTTCCATACACGCCATACAGTGCATCCCGAAATAAGATTCCGTACAAGCCTACTATCATTATCTCGAAGTTTTCTCCTCCATGCCCACAACACGTCTTCTATGCGCCTAGGCAACACTCAAGCCAAATGTTGGGAAGCAAGAATACCATTTCACAACCATCGAACACCATCACAATGGATGAACAAATGATCAATCATTTTTCTATCTCTCTTACACATATAATACCACTCGATAACATAAAAACATTTTCTTCAAAGATTATTTACTGTTAACGCATGCCCCCTCACAAACGTCGATAATAAGAAAGCCACCCATGGGGGTAATTTACATTGCCACATCATCTTCTAGGAAAATGAACTCTCCACCGGTCCTAATATGGATCTAAAATAAGTGCGAACTGAAAAAATACCATCCCGTGCCAACTTTCACCTGCCACGATCACCATTTCTTGCTTGAATATGCGCCTCGTGCAAAGAGGTAAAAAACAGTATAAAATCATCCAATTCCCAATCATGTAAACCCCTCTCAAAAGCAATATTCGAGCTGTAACTTCCATTATGTATGGCTATACATCATTTACCATAGCGGAATGCTCCAATGCAATGCTATGGGTTCTTAAGCTTATCTCTATTGCACTCAGTGAATCCTCATTGATGGTTACTGAAAATAATTCTGATTGTCTTATTGTGTATATTTCTTCTCATGGTTTTAAGCTGTTGAGCTATGTGAACTTCTGATTTTTCGATCATATGTCCTATATTGACTACTTGAGTTGCATAGTTGATTAAATGTTCTCGTGTTTGGAAACTGGAGCTTGCCTATAAAAATTATGCTATCTTAGCATAGTATTGTTTCACCGTCTCTATTGACTGAGCTGATGACCAATGCTCATGCCCTGGTGGCTCTTCTACTTGTTAGGTGCTGGAGGATTTAGTCCCTGATCCGTTTTTATTGATCTCTTTCTGTCCCTTCAACATGCAAACTGTCTCTTGCGAATTGTTTATTGTTTAAAGATAGTAATGAATTTATACTTATTTGTATAACACACTAATATCAAAGCATTCACAACCTTTTCACCTACCGTTTAGATACTGATCAGCTGCCTTGCAGCATTTTGATGTGAATTGCTCTTTTACTTTGTCTCTCACCCCTTGTTTAGATGCTTGAAAATTTGAAATATAATGAAACCAAACATTTCTTATAATGCTAACATATTTTCCAGTTGCTCATCCTAGAAAATAGTGTATAAGATATAATCACAGATCTCTTTTCCCGCTTTTCTTTCAATGTGAGTATACTGTACTTCATGCGTTGGGATGGGACAACTGACAAGGATTTTTACATAAGATCTTTAGGAGTATTAAAAACACTTCTTAACTATTGCAAATTGAACCAGGTTCCACGTTTATATAATTGTAGCTTGAGTGAAAGACACGTGGAAAGAAAGCTCCAATTGTCTGTTTCTAGTATAGATGGTTTTGCCGTATTGTCTTTGGAATTAAATCTGAATTTCTTATTCCTGTCCCCCACCCCCCCCTCCCCGGAAAAAAAAAATCTTCGAATGAGTTCTTATTGATTTTTTTTTCTATATTAGGATAATGCAGTGCCACAAGTTGGACATGCTGACAGCAGCTAGAGGTTCATAACTTTCTAAGCATTAGGAATCTGTGAAGGAATAAAAACCATGAGAGACTAGACATCATGAGATCCAACCATAAGTGATTCATGCAAAATTAACGACCACATCAACATCATTGTTGTTAGAAGTAAGAAGAAGATAAAGAAGGTGAGGGAAGAAACTATGATGCTACCTACAGGCAGAGATATTTTTGAGTTTCCTTCATTAGATTTAGTGGACAACTGAGCAGGCTGCATTATTGATTGAGTATCTTATTTCTCTTTTATTAGATGTTACAATCAATATATTGTAGAGAGTTTCCTTTGCATCTATTTAAAGGTATATTCCGTCTTCAGGTTCAGGAAAGACTTAAACAGCGTTTTTCTCTGTAGGTGACACAAATGTGATTGTTCAAGAAAGTAAGATTTCATGAAGTATTTTTGACATGCTTGCTCCTATAGAGGTTTTGAATATTGACCAATTGAGTTTTATAATCTTCCGTTTAGGCAATATGTTGAATTATGGACTATCTAAGTCGGTACAATTACATCATGTTTTTTTTAGCTTTGCCATGCTATGATTACTTTCAATCATTTTTATTTAGCTTTGCCATGCTACGATTACTTTCATTGTGCAATAAATTGTTTTTGTTTATGCTTCTGGGAGAATTTCATTATTATGTTATTTGTAAGTTCTCATTGTATGTTATTTTAAATTTTTTATTTTTATTTTTTATTTTTTTTTGTATTTTCTACATTTTTAGTGGAAGAAGGATTAAAATTGTACATTTGCAGGTTGCTAAATGGGCAAGCTTATATGAAATTACTTTTCGTGTGGTTGGGGATATTCAATTTGTCATGACTCACTCTATTGTACCCAAATATCTATATCAAGGTCAATGGGATCTAGTAAGAATGTGGATGAAACTTTTGGCTTTTGTGCAAGGAATGAGCGCTCAAAAGCGAGCAACAGGCAGTCACATAGAAGAAGAAGATGAGAATATACAGTTACCTTTTTTCTTAGGTCACTATGTAGCAAATATTCACTCTCTTTTAGTGGCTGGAGCATTTTCAGTGACTAGTGTTGAGGAGACCAACGAACAAGCTTTCTTCAGTACGTCTAAAACAGAATTTGAAGACCAGGATAGCGTAAGACATGCTAAAGTTGGAAAGCTATCACGCGAAAGCTCTGTGAGTAGTATAAAAGGGAAGAGTACATTGAGTCATGCTTCCAGCAATGCTGAGCTAAATATTGGTAGTTTCCCTATTCCATCTTCTGCTTTGTGGTTAACATTTGAGTGCTTGAGGGCTATTGAGAATTGGTTGGGAGTTGATAACTTAGTGAGGCCTCTTGGTGTCTTATCTCCAAAAACAATTGAAGGCTCTGTTGATAATTTTTTTGCATTTAGAAAAACACTATCTAAGTTTATAAGAGATAAGGATATTTTTAAATCATATGCTGCTCCTTCTAACGGTAAGCTTACAAATTCGAGTGAAGTTCTTGGTAAACAATGTTCATTACCATCCAATAGCAGTGTACATGTTGGTGTTGGCTTGGAGCATGGCCGATACATGGGACTAGATGCTGCACCTGGTGGTTCTGATGACAATATGTTGGAAGGAGAAAGTGCGGCAGAGTTAGAAGGCCTCCAAGCTCTCAGTTTGTCCGATTGGCCCGATATCATATATGATGTTAGTTCACAGGATATTTCAGTTCATATTCCATTACACCGATTACTTTCAATGATCTTGCTGACTGCACTGAAACAATGTTATGGCGAGTCTGCACTATCAAGTCTGGTAAATGCCAGTTCTGCCGATCCATCATCAGCTCCATATGGGAACTTCTTTGCCAATATTTTAGGAGGTTGCCACCCATATCGATTTTCTGCTTTTCTGATGGAGCATCCTCTGCAAATTAGGGTGTTCTGTGCAGAGGCTCATGCTGGAATGTGGCGTCGGAATGGTGACGATCCCATAATATCTATAGAGTGTTACCGTTCAGTACGCTGGTATGTGTTACTGCTACATGATACCATCTAAGAAGTTTCTGTTCCGTAAGAAACTATGCTGCCTCAATTTGTACATTTACGTTGTGCTGTTATATGTCTATGGAATGGTGTTAGGATCTTATTTTTTCTTTGGCTCCTTGATGCAGGTCTGTACTTGGTCAAGACCTTGATCTTTTCTTGCTGCAGTGTTGTGCTGCATTAGCTCCACCTGATCTTTATGTCAAGAGGATCTTAGAACGTTTTGGACTATTGGACTATCTGTCTCTGAATCTTGAACAGTCTAGTGAGTATGTAATCTATTTCTTTTGGGGAATGCCTTTTCCTTTTTTTTTTTTTGGGGTCTCTCTATAAAGTTAAGTCTTGTGTCCTTTTTCCTGGGTTGGTTCTGGTTCAAGATTCACTTCAGAAAATGTTTTTCCGGTGATAATGTTTTTCCAGAATGGAGTTTCTAGTGGTGATTGTTGGACCATTTCTTGATTTACCCATGCGCTTTAGTGCTGTGGGGATTTTTTGGGGAAGAAACACAGATCCAGGCTTTGACTTTCTTGGTTGATGCCCTGCACTAGCTAATGAGGAAAATAGAGTGATCAGAATTAAGTGGGAGGTGATGGGGTTAATTTAATTGTGTAGGGAGAACCTTAAGAGAAAGGATGACTGTCTGACATCGGGAATTTCTACGCTGTTGGTTGCTGGAGAACTGAGAAAATGATATTATAATTGAGGGAAAGGAATAAAAGGAAGAGAGAGAAATCATAGTTTGGCACGTACAGGGCATTTGGGTCATATTCTCAATATATCTTAATCACTTTGCTGCTATTGAACATGCTGAGGATATTTATGGGCATTCATATGAGATGGCTGTATATGCTAAGGACATGTCAAGTAGGGGTGGGCGCGGGTCGGTTCGGTTCTAAAGAGAACCGAACCGAACTAAAATTTTTGGGTATTTAGCAAATGGAACCGTCGGGTCCAAATATAATTATGGAACCGTTCGGGTTCGGTTCGGTTCTATACTATAATTAAATTTTTTAACATTTATAACATTATATAAATACAACTAATGACACATTCAATAGTTTTAAAATGTCAAAGACTAGTAGACTACTTTGTTCAAATGATCGCTACGATCAAAATTTCGGTTGGCGGAGGTCACAGCGTCGGTCGACGATTGTATAGGTTTTGGAATGCAGCGAGGCTGCGAGAGTCGAGATAACGTTATGCACTTTAGTGTAGGTGTTTAGAGTTAGTTAGTGGGTTGGATTTTGTTCGGCTAAGAAATGAGACAATAAAATGGGTAATTGGGCCAAAAATTAAAAAATTAGAAATGAAACAAATTATTTGGCCAAAAATTTAGATTTAGAAATTGTTAATTTGTTTAGAAAAAATTCAAATTAAAATAATTTGATTTATTCAATATAAAAAAAAATTAAAAAGATTCGGTTCTTCAGTTCTTGGTCTAGAACTGAGAGCTGAACCGTACCCGTCGGTTTTTAATTCAGATACCCGTTCGGGTATTTAATTTGACAAGAACCGTTGGATTTGGCTCGGTCGGTTCAGTTCGGGAGATTTGCCCAGCCCTAATGTCAAGGAAATGCTAGCAAAGCACTTCATGATAATTTTGTGAAGATATGGTTTAAAGACGTAAAATTAGCGTTGAACCACTTGATCTAAAAGTTTAAGCAATTAGATAAGGCCAAATGCATATCATTAAATATTATTTTCAACAATTAAAATATGACATATCATGAACGGCAATGGGTAGTAATAAATTATGGCAATCAAGGATGACAAAATGAGAAAATATGAAACAGGTTTAAAAATAATATCTAAGAGAGCTATTATTTTAAGGCTTATGGCAAACTTCAGCGACCTCTGTCATTGTTTCATTGACGATTCTATTTACACCCTGAATTTTCGTCACCATTCTCCCTAGTCCTCTAAATTAGCACTTTTTTGAGCTTAGCTAGACATGATATAAAAAAACCCAGTTTGTTTAACCATGTGGAACACTTGATCTAATAGTTTAAGCTATTAGATAGGGTTAGAATAATATAATTTAAATATTATCTTCATCATGCCCCTTATGTGTAGGCAGTATTATTTTTTCATAAAACTTGACGCGTACACAACTTTTAATAAATAGGTGGCGGTGACACTTTTTCATGGCTTTGATACCATAAAGAACCACTCAATCTAATAACTAAGCTATTATATGGGGGCAAATGAATATCATATAAATATTATATTCAACACAGTTATAACATAAAACTATCCTGCTTAATTTATTTTTGAAACTGTAATTGTGTTGTACTCTTCATTTTGTATTTCAAAAGAGAATTTTTTTTTATCTTTGCCGTGTCCATTTTTTTGAGAAAATATCATGATGCTATGTCTTTGTCTTGTCATGTCATACTCCTGTTTGTGTTTCTAAAAATTAAATTTTAGAAAAAATCTCCTGCTTAACTTATTTCTGTAATTGTAATTGTGTTATACTCTTGGTTTTCAATGTCGAAAAATAATTTTTTTTCTTTGCTATGTCCAATATTTAGGCACAAAGCTGTGATACCATGACCATGTCTTGTAATGTCATAGTCGTCTTAGTGTTTTTTAGATCACACATCTCAATAACTGAAATTTTTTATCTACCCCATATCATATCTAGAACAAGCTGAATACTGGCATGGTTAAAGTACATACAACATCGAGACAGATTCTCTTGTTATTTCTCTGAGCTTGGAGCCAAAAATTTGTCCACCATATCATAGACTCTTTACATGACTCTTACATTGACCAACTCAACCCTACTTTAGATAAATTTGACCTCCAATAATTCAAAATGCCAGTACAGCATCCAAGAAAATTTTTAGTTAATACCAATATGACAGAGATATTTACCAAAACATAGATGACTTTAGACTCTAATTTGCATTTTGACCCGAGACACAATTAATTGTTCAGGTGATGTAGCACCAGTATAAAAATTAATGAAGAAAGAGAAAATTAATGATTCAGGAAGAAGAAATTAGGGGATGGGATGGAAGAAGAAGAACGGGGAAGAGGGAGAATTTCGCCACAAGCCGCCAAAAATCTTTATTCAATCATCAACTGAAAAATTACAATACAAAATAGGTTTAAATAGTAAAGCAAACCCTAAAGAGATTGAGCCCAAGCCCATACAAGTCCAATTCTCTAAATAAGAGTTCAAGATAATAAATAAAGCTCAACTAGAAAATAAAATAAATAAATATCGGATGTCCTCATCAACTTTCCTGGGGTGGGAGAAAACTCGACCCTGTCGAGTGGATATATCACTATAAGCTGCAGTCAATCTCCCAACCATAAGCTAAGTGGCTGGGCAAGTGTCTTCCGACGTCTCTAGAAATGTGTTAGTGGAGGTCTGAATCTGGTGTCTTTACCAACCCCCTTGAGTGGACGGGAGGCGATTTGGGGCAAGGAAGATCCCGCTGACTCCGATAAAACTCCAATAAATCTAGATCCAATTGCTGTCGTATCTTTCTGGAGATCCATGTACAGTCAGAATCTGGTCGATCAACCCAACGAACAAGAAAGCCCTGAACCCCTCCATCATTAGTTAACACAGTTTCTTCATCTAAAATAGCATCAATTTTATCTTTGTTTGTTGTGAGAGATGACAGTAGGTTAGAAGTGGCCAAAGAATCAAAATCAAGGTCCACAAAAGGAGGTAACAGAGGATCATCTGAAGGAATGAAATGGCCTTTATAAGCAACTAAATCCTCCACATCGAAAGTAGAGTGGTAACCAAGGTGTGGTGGGATGTCAACAACGTATGTGTTTGGGCCAACTTGCTTTAACATTTTATAAGGATCAACACTACGGGCTTGCAATTTGGAGGCGGGTCCATGTAGACACTGGTCTGGCCTAATGCAGACCATAATGTAATCCTCAATGTTAAACTCAACATGTCGTTTATGCAAATTAGCTTGGAGTTTATATTTTACATTATTGGTTTCAAGTTGTTTATTGATCTCAATATGCAAATCACGAAGATGTTGTGCAAATACTTCTGCTGACACTGAGACTCTAGCCTGTGGGGATATAGGAATGAGATGTAATGGCTCCCTAGGCTTATACCCATGAACAGCTTCAATGGACTCATACCTAATGAACGATTCATAGAACTGTTATACGCAATTTGAGCTTTAGGAAGGATCAAATCCCAATTTCGAAGATTTTTCTGACCAGATATCATAACAAATTACCAAGACTACGATTAACTATTTCAGTTTGACCGTTAGTCTGAGGATGGTAGGCCGTAGAAAATTTCAATTTGGTACCCATCTTTTGCCACAAGGTTCTCCAAAAATGACTAGTGAAACGAACATCCCTATCAGACAAAATGGTCTTAGGAAGCCCATACAATTTAACAATCTCATTAAAGAACAACATGACAACTTTGGACGCATCTGAGGTCTTGCTACAGGGGATAAAATGAGCCATTTTCGAGAAACGATCAACAACCATAAAAATAGAATCATGTTTCTTTGGGGTGCGTGGAAGTCCTAACATAAAATCCATACTAATATCTTGCTAAGGACAATTAGGGACAGGAAGAGGAGTGTATAGGCCTGTGTTTTGTCTCTTCTGTTTGGTCAATTGACAAGTGTTATATGTATTAACAATCTTAGCCACATCTTTCTTCAAACTAGGCCAATAGAATTGGCGTTCAACCTCCTCTATGGTCTTATCACGCCCAAAGTGACAGGTTAAACTTCCCGCATGAACTTCCCACACCATGAAATCCCGCACTGAAGTTCGAGGGATGCACAATTTTTTGGCTCTAAAAAGGTAACCCTCCTCAAGTTGGAAGCCATCTGTGGTATCTAACTGTCCACCTTGCAATTCAAGAAAGATATCCTTAAAATCAGGACACGTCTCGTAATCCTCCTTAAGCCTTTCAAAATCGATGACCTTGACGCTCATGATCGATAAAAGGGAGACACGACGACTTAAAGCATCAGCTACTTGGTTTTCCACCCCCTTCTTATGTTTTAAAACAAACGAATAGGCCTGAAATATTCAATCCAACGACCATGCCTAGAGCTCAATCTTTTCTGGGAGTTAGAGGTAACGGAGGGCCTCGTGGTTCGAATAAAGAACAAACTCCTGGTGCAACAAATAGTGGCGCCAATAGCGCAAGGCCTGGACAACCGCACACAATTCCTTATCATAAGTCGAGTACCGTTGTTTGGCCTCATTTAACTTCTCCCTGAAGTAGGCAACAGGGTGACGATCCTGATTCAGGACTCCGCCTATACCCACTCCGGAAGCATCACACTCGACCTCAAAGACTTTAGAAAAATTGGGAAGACGCATGACAGGAGCCTGTGCCATTTGCTTCTTGACCAACTTAAAGGCCTTAGCTGCTCTTGTGTCCAATGAAACTCCCCTTTTTTCATGCACTCCTAATAGGCGCCATAATAGTGCTGAACCCCTTGATAAAGCGACGGTAAAATGTAGCTAAGTCGTGAAAGCCCCTAACGTCATGAATAGTCCTAGGTTTAGGCCAGTTAAGAATCGCCCTGAATCTTGGCAGGGTTAGCAGAAACCCCTGTCGAAGAGACAATGAATCCAAGGAAAACGACTGTATCGGTGAAGAAAGAGCACTTTTTGATGTTAGCATACAGATTAGTTGCACGTAGGGTAGAACAAACTTGTGTGAGATGGTTATGGTGTTGCTCTTTAGTCTTACTGTAGATAAGAATATCATCAAAGTAGACAACAAGAAACTTACCCATAAAAGGTTGAAGAGTTTGTGTCATTACTCGCATAAAGGTGCTCGGCGCGTTGCTTAGCCCAAAAGGCGTGACCAACCATTCATAAAGATCATCTTTCGTTTTAAAGGCGGTCTTTCACTCATCACCTGGGCGGATTCTAATATGATAGTATCCACTCTTGAGATCAATCTTCGAAAAGATTGTAGCACCAACGATCATATCTAGCATATCGTCAAGTCTAGAAATAGGAAAATGATACTTTATTGTGATCCTATTGATGACACGACTATCCACACACATTCTTCAAGAACCATCCTTAGGGGTCAACAGGGCGGGAACCGCACAAGGGCTTAAACTCTCACGAATGAACCCCTTGTGAAGGAGTTCATCTACTTGCCTTTGGAGTTCAGCGTGGTCAGTCAGATTCATCCTATAATGAGGCAAATTTGGAAGGGATGCCCCCGGGATGATATCTATGGCATGCTGAATGTCTCGCAGGGGAGGTAATTCGTCAGGTAGGTCCTCCGGGAATACATCCTGAAACTCTTTGAAAAAATGAGTGAACTTCAGCAGGGCTCTCTATTGTGGAGTTCCATGGAACCTCCATAACGATAACAGCGAACACCACTGAGTCACTAACAAGTGAGCGCTCAAACTCCGTCGGGCTAATGATATACAACCCTTTTCGTTCCACACTTCTCTTTGTTTCATGTGAGCTAATAGGTTTTGGGGGCAGTAGGTTAAGATGAATCTTCTTTCCATCAAACACGAAAGAGTAGGAATTGGATCGACCATAGATGGTTACATCTAGGTCAAATAACCAAGGTCGTCCCAAGATGACGTGCCTGACATCCATTGAAATGACGTCACACCATATGTGATTAGGGACTGGATAGGGATTAGACAACGCTCCTTGACAGCTAAAGAAGTATTAACCCAGGAGACGCTATACGGTTGAGGGTGAGGAATTGGCTTTAACCCTAGGCGGGATACAGTAGCTATCGAAACCGCATTAATGCAACTGCTACTATCCACGATAACTTTACAGTCCTTGTTAATGATCTTGATGTAAGTGTGGAAGATGGAATGACGACGCCAATCATCGGCATTCCTAGGCTGGGTAAGAGTGCAACGGATGACACCGACTTTAGGCGTATGTAGGATAAGGGGACTAGCCTGAATACAACCTAAGAAGGTATCATCACTATCCTCCAAGTTATCAAACTCTTCCAACTTAGGTTCATAAACCTGGTCCTCTAATGACTCGTCAACTATACCTTTACGCTCGTCCATAACTAGGGCTCGGCTAGGACATTTAGAAGAAATGTGACCAAAACCCTTACAGTTGAAGCATTTACAAACGGGAGGACGCCCTTGTAACCTCAGAACCTTTACCTTTACTATCCGATGTAGGTAGCATTAGAAGGAGGAGGTCCTAGAATAGATTTTGGGGATGGAGTAGATGCAGAAGAGGTTGCAGTGTGGGTGTCACTACGAGTTCTATACGGTGTCCTAGTCACTAACTCGTAATCCCGAACGAAAGAGTAGGCGTGGTCAAGAGTGGTGACGCCTCTAAGGACAAGCTCACGTCTAAGATCATCCTTTAGGCCTTCTCTAAACCTACTCAAGGTCATGACCTCATCCTCAACGACTTGACATTTCATTCGAAACTCATCAAACTGAGCAACGTACTCGGTCACAGGTCGATTGCCTTGTGTAAGTTCATTCCATTGAGTAAAAATTTCAAAATCTAAGCAACTATCAAAAGTAGAAGTGTGTAATTTAGTGTCTCTAAAGAACTCTTTTTATGATGAGGAAGAGAATGAGTACCGTGACGGTCATAGGCTCGTTCTCGCCGACAAATTTGTTCCCTATCACTATGATTGTATCCAAAATATTTTCGATCTCCTCGTCGATGACGATAATGTCTATGATGGGATACTTCAGAATTATCAACGTCAATCAAATGAGGGATTTGCTTAAAATTGTTCAAATTAGTAGAGAGGGCCTTACTCTCTTCAAGAGTAGCAGTCATTTAGGTTTGGATAGCAGCTATTTGTTGGGTGAGTACATCAAATTGTGGATGGTCCATGTTTTGGTACAGAAACTAGAAGTGACAAAATGACCAGTCAACCACTATATTAGCAGCTAAATGACGTGTAATAGAGAGATCAGTGAACAATAAGTGCAAGCAATGGAAAATAATTTGAACCATTTTTTTTTTAAATTTTAAATTTGGAGGATTAAGCAAATCCAAATATTGCAAACTAATATTGTTGATATATGTAAAATAGCAAAGCAAGGGTTAAACACTAGTCAAAAGACCTAATCATATGATATAGATTGAGGGGTTAAAAGCAAGTCTATGATGAATCAAAACCCTACGCGAGGTAAGTGGGGAGCCAATGGGAGTTAAGTCATTCAATGATTTTGATAAAGTGTGGTTAAGGCTAATATTGTCAAGGTTACAGCAGCACAAGATTTTAATTGATGCAATTTTAAAAATGAAGTAGTAATATAAACCAATACTAGATAGAGATCAAGAACTCCTTGTTTAGTTGCTTGAATTTCTGAAATGTGGACCCTAGTTATGCTTGTGTTATATCCTTCTTTGCAGATGTCTTCCACTCCAGAAGTCACTCCTTGTTGATTGTGATTTATACTGGTTATTGCTCTGGCTCTGTTGTGCGTTGGAGTATAACTGGCGGGCAAGTCGAATTGATCCCTGTTGTTAGTCGTTTATGTGTTAAATGGGATGTGATAACATGTGTTAAGTGGGCTGATTTATTTTGATTCAAGTAATGGGTTGGTTTATTTTGAGATGTTGGAATTGAGCTAGAAGTAAGTGGTTGGATGATATGATGGGAAGTGGGCTGTGTATGCAAGGGTTGAGTTAATTGGGTTTTGGGGTTTATTGGGCTGCGTGAGTTTGGTTAGGGATAAAAGGAATATTTATGAGTATATTTGGGTTAGATTGTTAGGATTAAAAATTTGTGAAACAACACTTAACAGCAGCAAACGCCTAAAATACTAAAATTGATTTTTTTTTGCAGAAAATGATGAAAAATACTGAAACTGAATTTTTTTCCTCCGGGTGAATAGTGCCTGTGAATAGTAACTTTTTTTTTTTTGGGAACTGAAAATACTTAAATTGAATTTTTCGGGTGTGAATAGTACCTGTGAACAGTAACACGATTTTTTATTTTTTTACAACTAAGATAGAAAATTGAAGGAAAAAACTGGTAACTTTAATACAAACTTTTCATTTTTGCTGTTCCAACGGGAAGTAATTTTGGGAAGAGGATGGGAAGAAATTTTGGATAAAAAGAAAAATTACCCAATTTCGGCTCTAATACTAAATTTGATGTAGCATTAATAGAAAAATTAATGAAGAAAGAGAATCAATGAATCAGGGGAAGGGATGGAAGAACAAGAAAATAGGGAAAGAAGAAGAAGAACGGGGAAGAGGGGAAATTTCGCCACAAGCCACCAAAAATCTTTATTCAATTATCAACTGAAAAATTACAATACAAAATAGGTTTAAACAGTTGAGCAAACCTTAACAAAACTGGGTCCGAGCCCATACAAGTCCAATTCTCTAAATAAGAGTCCAAGATAATAAATAAAGCTTAACTAGATCATCATCAGGGGGAATAAAAAACAGTCATTAACATAATATAGAACAACTTAAAGAAATTTCTCTTTCTTCATCGGGGGAATAAAAAACCGTCATTAACATAATATAGAACAACTTAAAGAAATTTCTCTTTCTTAATTTTCTTTTCTTGTGTTTACAAACTGTACCAAGATATATTTCTCTGAACATGGAGTGTCAATCAAACCTATGTTTGAATTGAAATTGAGATACCGATGTAAGTTTTTCCCTTCTGAATTAGATATATTTATATTTGAAAGAGGTTGACAATAAATTCTTTCAAATTTGATTATTTGAGGTGCTCCAGAAATGTTTACAAAACAGGTTGTAAAATTGTATAGTGGTATCTAAAGTGGCCGAGAATTTAGCGAATCATGTATAGTTAGAAGAAAATGATGTTTTTCCCTGAAAGTAAATGAGTTGAGTTCCTCCAGGAAAAAGGTCTATAAGTCTATTCTTCTCATTTAGATTCATATACTATTTCAGCAATGCTCAATGTAGAAGTCCAGATTATTCACATGCACAACACTGCGTCAAAGTATTTTTGGCTTATTTGCATGATTTAAGTAAAAGAATTCTGCTGGTAATTTATGTTCATGAAGTTCAAATAATAGTTGAGTAGGCACACTGTAGTGTTAGGAAAACTCATTAACATTTTGACATCCATTTTTAATATGAAACAACACAAGAACTGCGCAATGCTGTCCATAGATGGTATGCGTGATTGAGATATGATGACCAGCATCTCGGAGCTGGTAAAAAGACGGGTTTTTGGGTAAGTAGAGTGACAATTATTTGATGAAAGCACGTGGAATCTGATTACTGCACCTTCATTCATGTAGTCACTGAACACTTAGCCAACATATCTTTATCTCTTGTAGATCTATGAAAGTGCAAATGAACAAGATCAGTCCTGGTATTGACGCGATTTGCTACATATCCAGATATGGTAATGTATGGAAGATCAGTCCCCGGTTAGACTAGGCTATACATGAAAATGTATCATGAATGGAAATTCCATTTGTGGTCGAGAAATGTTTGATTGATTAGGCCAACGTTTGGATTACCATATACATTTCATTCTTAGATGAAGACACTTGTTGCTTCACTACAGATAGAAACTGTATCTATCATTTCGTACTTCTATTATACTACTTTTTATTGTTGGCTCTAATTTTTCAGGCAAGAACCAATTCTAGTTGTTGAAATGCTTACTGTACTCATACAAATAGTGAAAGAGAGAAGGTTTTGTGGGCTGAGTACCACTGAATGTCTGCAAAGAGAGTTGGTATACAAGCTTTCTATTGGAGACGCTACTCGCAGTCAGTTGGTGGAATCTCTCTCTTCTGATCTTTCCAGAATTAATGAACTTCAGGAAACACTGGATACAATTGCAGAATATTTCAATCCATCTGGCATGACTCAGGTTAGATTTTGTGGTGTGAAAAATTATTGTTGTCATTAAATAGAACAAGCTATGATCAGCCTGCCAGATACCTCTCTATTTCACAGGGAATGTATAAACTGCGATCTGCATACTGGAAGGAACTTGATCTATATCATCCTCGCTTTAACTCTAGGGATTTACAAGCCGCTGTAGAAAGATATTTCCATGTTTTCAGTGCTTCTGCATTGACCACTCAGCTTCCTAAATGGACAAATATTTATTACCCTCTCAGGGTAATTGCTCAAATAGCAACTTGCAAAATAGTCCTCCAAACTGTCCGAGCAGTACTGTTTTATGCTGTTTTCACGTATAAGCTTGCCAAATCACGTGCTCCTGATGACGTTGTTTTGGCTGCTCTGCATTTGCTGGCACTAGCACTGGACATCTGTCGATTAAAAAGGAAATCCGGTGATCTGCTCTGTGATGTGGGTAGTGCCATTCCCCTTTTGGGATTTGCCTGTGAAGAAATATGCACAAATAAGTATGGTGACCAGAGTATGATATCGCTTCTTGTCCTATTGATGAGGATACATGATAAAGAAAAAGCAAAGAACTTTATGGAAGCTGGCAATTTCAATCTCTCTTTGTTGATCAGAGATATATTGAAGGAGTTTGCGGAGTTTGAACCTGGATGCATGATTAAATTGCAGAAACTTGCTCCTGAACTGGTAAATCAACTTTCACAATCCATAGCAAATGGTGATATAAATGAGATGGCATCTGCTTCTGACAGTGAAAAGCACAAATTGAAGGCTAGAGAAAGACAAGCTGCTATTTTGGTGAGATGTTAATTTCGACAGCACATGGTTAAGTTATAAAAACGAACAAAGAATTGTGTTCTAACTGGCTAATAAATGGAAGTTATGGGTTGCTATGGCATGGATGCTTCAACTTTTATTTTGCCTTTTGAGTCGTAGAACGTGTGTTCTTGGCATGCCCGTGGCAAATATATGACATTTAACTTTGTACTATTGGTATCCTTGCTGTCTTAGTCAATATCTCCTGCCGCAATGAAAGTACACAAGAAAGTAATATGTTCAGAATTAGCACTATACAGTTATATATATGCGGACATATATATATCAGACATTTACCATATCATTAAAAGTTCCAACAGATATGACAAATTTCTACTTACAACAACGACAGCAACAATAAGCCAAGTTTTATTCCTATTTTACTTTGGGTCAAATATTTGGATCTTTTTTCCCCTTTTACGCCTTTCTACTTATGAAAATTTGTTGTAGTTCTTGTGAGGCATTCATTACCATTTTTTCTTTTTCTTTTTGGTTGGTGGGCTGCCTATTCTTCAAGAATTAGAAGTTTATTTATCTTAATGTATTGAATATCTTAAAGAAAATACCTCATTAGTTGAGTAATCCTTGTACTTGTCATTGATTAACTTAGTGCCTTTTGGATGGTTATTTGGTTGGCTGGCTGCATTCTGATGCTTGAGTGCTATGTTATTCTTTAGAATAAGATGGTGAAATGACTTATCTCATATTAATTACAGAGAATGTTGAATATATACAAGTACAGGAGGAGAAATCACAAGCTGATTCACATTCCTTGATTCTAGCCACTAATTTAGGAAAATAATATGTCTAACATGTTTAACCAAATCAGTATTCTTCAAGAATTAGAAGCTTATTTATCTTAATGTATTGAATATCTTAAAGAAAATACCTCATTAGTTGAGTAATCCTTGTACTTGTCATTGATTAACTTAGTGCCTTTTGGATGGTTATTTGGTTGGCTGGCTGCATTCTGATGCTTGAGTGCTATGTTATTCTTTAGAATAAGATGGTGAAATGACTTATCTCATATTAATTACAGAGAATGCTGAATATATACAAGTACAGGAAGAGAAATCACAAGCTGATTCACATTCCTTGATTCTAGCCACTAATTTAGGAAAATAATATGTCTAACATGTTTAACCAAATCAGAGAAAAATAGAAAACTACTACAGCTAAATATAATTACATAAATACACATGACATGTTGAAATCAGTTCCAGATCATTTGGATCTGTCCTACAGATTAACTCTTTTAATTCTACACTCCCTCTCAAGCTGGGCAATAGATTTTGATCATTCCCAGCTTGGAAACTAGATGGTCGAAGTTGACTCTTGGAAGGGCCTTTGTAAGTATATCTGCAGCCTGAAGATGTGTAGGAGTATAGATCGTCTTGATGATTTCTTCTTCTATTTTCTCCTTAATAAAATGTCTGTCAATTTTCACGTGCTTTGTTCTGTCATGATGAACTGGATTTTTAGCTATACTGATGGTAGCTAGATTATCACAATACATTTTAATTGGGTCATCACATGAGATTTTTAGTTTACCTAGGAGTCTTTTTAGCCATATCACTTTGCATATGCTAAGGGCCATAGCTCGAAATTCAGCTTTTGCACTACTCCTAGCTACTACAGATTGTTTCTTACTTCGCCAAGTGACTAAATTTCCCCATACATAGGTGCAGTAACCAGAAGTAGATCGGCGATCAGTTATGGACCCTGCCCAATCTGTGTTCGAGTAGACTAAAATGATCTTATTGTTCCCCTTTTCAAAGAGTAGTCTTTTGCCCAGTGTCATTTTCAAATATATGAGTATTTGGTATACAACTTCCATATGTTCCTCGGTTGGATTATTCATGAATTGGCTAACAACACTCACGGAGAATCTAATTTCAGGTCTAGTGTGAGATAAATAAATTAGTCTTCCCACTAGTCGTTGATATCTTCCTTTGTCGATTGGAGCACTACCTTCCTTCATCCCAATCTTACGCGTTGAGTCCATAGGAGTATCCGCCGGTTTACATCCGAGCATACCTGTCTCCATAAGCAAGTCAAGGGTATATTTCCTTTGGGAAATAGTTATTCCCTTGCTTGAGTGGGCCACTTCCATGCCGAGAAAGTATTTTAGATTTCCTAGATCCTTAATCTCGAATTCTAATGCATTAATAGACTTTAATTGGCTCATCTCGTCATGATTGTTTCCTGTGACAATGATGTCGTCCACATATACAATGAGGAGAGTGAGTTTCCCATCAGGCGAATGTTTGGTAAAGAAAGTATGGTCAGATTGTCCCTGTGGGTAACCATATTTCTTCATAACCTTTGTGAATCGTTCAAATCATGCTCTTGGTGATTGTTTCAGTCCATACAATGATTTTTTCAATTTACACACTAGGTTGGAATTTTCTTTCCTTTCAAACCCTGGTGGAATCTCTATATAAACTTCTTTTTCTAGGTCCCCATTCAAGAAGACATTCTTAATGTCTAGTTGGTGAAGTGTCCAATCTAAGTTGAAGGCCAAAGATAAGAGGACTCGAATTGTATTTAGTTTAGCAACAGGGGCAAATGTCTCTTGATAATCTATTCCATATGTTTGAGTGTAGCCGTTTGCTACTAACGTGGCCTTGTACCTGTTTAAGCTTCCATTTGCATTGTATTTTATGTTGAAGATCCATTTACAACCGACTGGTCTTTTTCCTTTTGGAAGTTCTGTGAGAACCCACGTGCCATTTTTGTTGAGAGCCGGCATTTCTTCATTTAAGGCCTCTTTCCATTTTTGACATTTCATAGCCTCTTGAACACTGTTTGGAATCTTTATAAGTGACAGTTTAGAAATAAAGGCACGATATACAGGAGAAAGATTGTTGTATGACACGAAATTAGATATGGGATGCCGAGTACAAGACCTGACTCCTTTTCTTTGGGCAATGGGAACCTCAAGATCATCATATGATAAGGAAATAGGATCAGATGGATTTTCGATGTTACCTGAATCCACGGGGTTAGAACTTGGATTACATGTTTGGCCATGCTCAGGAAGAATTGGATTCTCTATCTCTTTGTCAGTTTTTGGCCTTCTGGAGTAAACTTGGAATTCTTTGCCTTTTCCACCTGCACTTAGAGTTGGGGATTTAATGACAGGTTCTACAAGTTCGATTGTTGACTAAGGAGGAATGAGCAAGGTTGAATTAGGTGATATGGATGTAACTGGCTCAGGTTGAATTGCCGTAGCTGGGATAGGTTCTAGTTGCCAAAACTGATATTCTTCTCCTCTTCCAATGCCAGAATTCTCCCCGAGAATATGAGTTTTGGAGTAGAAAGATTGATTTTCAAAGAATGTTACATTCATAGTGGTATGAAACTTCTTCGTTTCTGGAGAATAACATTTATACCCTTTTTGAGTAGGAGAATACCCAAGAAATACACATTTAATGGCCTTTGGATCGAGTTTATTGCGAAGATGTGGTGGAACATGAATAAAAGCTGAGCACCCAAAGACCTTTAGTAGTAACTTAGAGATGAGCTGTGTGGATGGGTATGCTTTGGTGAGAATTTGGCTCGGAGTGTAGAACCGAAGAACACAAGAGGGCATTCGATTAATCAAATATGCAGTAGTAAAGACGGCATCTCCCCAAAAATCCTTTGGAAGATTAGATGTGAACATAAGAGTATGAGCAACTTCTAGAAGGTGACGATTTTTACGTTCAGCTCTTCCATTTTGCTGTGAGGTATCAATGCATGAACTTTGATGGATTATGCCTTTCTCGGTAAGAAAAGTACCAAGGATGGAGTTGAAGTATTCTAGCATTGTCAGTTCTCAGAATTCGAATATTGGCTTGGAATTGATTTTTAATCATAGAGTGAAATTTCTTGGAAATTGGACCTGCCTCAGATTTTTCTTTTATCAAAAATACCCAAATGACTCTACTATGATCATCAACAAAAGTGATAAACCATCATGCTCCCGAAATATTTTTAACTCGAGAAGGACCCCAAATGTCACTGTGTACAATTGAAAATGGATGTGAAGGTTGATATTTGTGTGCAGGAAATGAACTTCTTGCGTGCTTAGCAAATTGGTAGATTTCACATTGGAATAAACTTGGATTTTTATTGATAAATAGTGATGGAAACAATTTTGACAGGTGCATAAAATTAGGATGACCTAATTTGAAGTTCCACAACATGATTGCACTATTATTGTCATGGGATGAAGCATAAATAGACATTGAATCCTTATTGGACCGACTCACTAAGGCTGGTGTAGTAGTGCGTTGGGCTATCAAAGTTTGAACTCTAGAAGAATCGCCTGACTTGAAGAGATAGAGGCCCGCACACTCCTCAGCATTGTCAATCATCCTCCCCGAGTCCTGTTCCTGAAATATGCAATGAGTAGGAGAGAATTTAGCAATACAATTAAGATCTTTTGTGAGTTTGCTTATTGATAATAGGTTGCTAGACAGCTTTGGAACCAATAGGATGGAACTAAGAACAATATGTTTAGAGATGATAATGGTTCCAATTCCAGAAACTGTGGATAAGGAACCATTTGCAATGCGCACTGTATGATTTCCAGAACATGGTAAATAAGAGTGGAATAAAGTGGCATCACCAGTCATATGATCGGAGGCACTTGAGTCAATTATCCAAGGGCTGTTTTTCTCAACTTTGCTGTTAAGAGTACTTGAGAATGTACCCTTCTGGGCTATGGAACCAGATCCGATGATATTAGAACTCGTTTGTGTGTGGTTGAACATTTTCTGAAGGAGATCGAGTTGTTCTTTGCTGAATATTGTGGATTCAAGCACAGGTTTTTCATCAGTTGTAACAGAGAAACCACTACTTTTTCGATTAGAATTCAACCTGTTTGGTTTCCAATCAGTGGGTTTACCGTGAAGTTTCCAGCACTTTCCTCGAAGATGTCCAGGTTGACGACAGTAATCACACCATGGTCTTCCTTTGTGAGGGCGATTGTCACTTCCCTGGTTGTTGTCTCCATGAGTGGTAAGGGTAGAACTTTCAGTTGGGGCAGTGATCCATTGAGTTCCCATCATGACCTTCCTCCTACTTTCTTCTCTTTTGACCTCTGAGAATGATTCACGAAGAGAGGCCAGAGGTTTAGTTCCCAAAATTCTTCCTCTTACTTCATCAAGATCTTTGTTTAGGCCAAGTAGGAACTTAAAAATTCTTTCTTTCTCCACAACAGTGCGGTATTTCTTTCCGTCTTGAGGACACTTCCACGAGATATCTTCGAACACGTCAAGTTGTTGCCAATATCGAGTGAGAAGATTAAAGTAACGAGTCACGGAGTTATCACCTTGTCGAAGATTATGGAGAATTCCTTTAATTTCAAAAAGTTCAGAGGTGTTTTCATTGTTTGAATAGGTTTCTTTCACACTATCCCAGATTTCTTTTGCAGTTGAATAGAACATGAAGTTTTGGTTAATCTCGACATCCATTGTGTTGATTAGCCAGGACATGACCATGTAATTTTCAGATTTTCACCTTTTGAATTTGGGATTAGTCGTGGATGGTGGCTTTGCAGTCCTGTGAGATAGCCATCTTTCCCTTTGCCGAAGATATACATCATGGTTGATTGAGACCACTGGAGATAGTTCTGTCCATTGAGTTTATGCCCAGTAATGGGAATGATGGAATGTTCAGAATTTCCATGAGAGGTAGAGATGATGTCCTTTGCAGCAGAGGTTACATCAGATGAAGATTCTTTTTCGGAGGCCATCTCAGATTTAGGGTTTCAGATGGGTAGCTCTGATAGCATTTAGAATAAGATGGTGAAATGACTTATCTCATATTAAATACACAGAATGTTGAATATATACAAGTACAGGAAGAGAAATCACAGGCTGATTCACATTCCTTGATTCTAGCCACTAATTTAGGAAAATAATATGTCTAACATGTCTAACCAAATCAGAGAAAAATAAGAAACTACTACAGCTAAATATAATTACATAAATATATATGACACGTGGAAATCAATTCCAGATCATTTGGATTTGCCCTACAGAATTAACTCTTTTAATTCTACATATTCACTACGGCTATTGGGCCTCTTGTTGTACTTTCCTGGCCCATGTTGTCATAGGATGAAATTGATGCTGATTGCTTGTTGCCATCCTACTATCTGGTGAAAATTGTATTTTTCATTTTCTGAATTTTCTTATACATTGTCCACATATCTGGTACATAGGAGGAAATGAGAGCCCAGCAGAGCAAGTTTTTGGAAAGCATTAATTCCAATGCAGATGATGACGTAGATGATACCAAATCTGGGCAAGACTTGTGTGATTCTCGTGTTAAAAACAATTCTGAAGAGTTGGCTCAAGTCATTTGTTCTCTTTGCCATAGTCAGAGTTCCAGCAGTCCTGTATCATTTTTGGTTCTTCTCCAGGTAGCTAGCTGTCTCCGGTTTTATTCCATCTATCTTATTTTAATTTTGTTTGGTCATTTTGTTTCAATTAAGTAGAAGGATTAGCATTTGTCATATCTTGCACAAGATCATTCTGATGTCTATCTCTACTTCGAATAAAGAAATCCAGGCTCTTGAGTTTGGCTGAGAGAGGCCCCCCTTCATGGGAACAAATTAGCAGCTCAGGGAAGGAGCCTGTTTCTAAAAGTACAACCACAGGTGATGAATTATCCCAAAGGAGCAGTATCTCTGTTGGCTCAGGAACTATCTCTTCTTCTCAGTTAGTGGATGTGATTCAGAATGCTGTAAATGATTTTGCTTTGTTGGGACAACCCAGGGAAGTGAAAGCCTTTCTTGAATTTATCAGGGCTCGATTCCCATCCATTAAGAATGTTCAGCTCCCTTACATATCAAAAGATACAAGGGAGAAAACTGTATTCTCCCTTGAGACATTGGAAGAACATATGTACTTGAGAATTAGGGGAAAAAGTCATGCCATTTTAAAGGACTCAGATTCTGGAAACAATGATGAAAATTTTTCAATAACTGGAGGCAATCTGGAAAGTAGTGGCAATGCTGAATCTCTTTTGCTTGGAAAATACATTGCCGCACTTCCGAAAGAGACATTGAAGAATCCTTTAGCTTCAGAAAATGTCCATTCTCACAGTGACAGGGCACGGTCTGAATCCGATAGACTACATCCAGAAGACGATGGATTTGGTCCCATCGGCACTGACGGAATTTGTATTTCTTCCTGTGGACATGCTGTGCATCAAGGATGTCTTGATCGTTATTTATCATCTCTTAGGGAATGGTGAGATATCCACATAAAAAGGACTCCTAAAAAAGAATGGGTTGAGGCATATTTTGTGTTTTTGATTATTTTAATTTTATGGTTCAATGATAATTTGAATACAATCAACATGAAAATATGAAAAGCATTAACAGTTACCCAAAAAGATGAAGAGATGAGGGTTTGGACTTATCATGAACAAAATTACGAATTTGTTGCTTTTACTATTAAGCATTATGTCTGTATTTGTGGATCGAAGAGTGAATAGACCAGTGAATTTATATGCCACCAGATGTTTGTTGACCACTTGCTGGTCCTTGCGATGACTAAACTTTTCTCCCTTCTCTCATGTGACATCTTCCCAACAGTTTGAAACCTCAACAGTACAATCTCAAATCAGAAGCAACACCTACTTAACACCTAAAAGGGGCCTTGTGCAATAGCCTCTCTCCAACGAGACTGATCCAAAGGAGAGATTTTTCTTTCCTTTAACCCTTACTTTTCGGCTCTTCTGTGGCCTGATATAAAATGGCACCCATGATTGCATCTGTTATCCTTGGTATGCGGTATGTTTGGATAACTGATCCAAATTTCAATAGTTTTCACCCTCTTATCATCTACCATTAGTCTTAGTAAAAAGAGTCAAAGATGCCAAAGATGAATAGAGATACTTTGACCTTCTCATCAGTCACTGTCATGCCCTTTCCTCCTAGTTGTAGTTGTTGATTGTCTCGTGACCGATGAATTTAGGTTGAATAGTTTTCTCTGTGTCAAGTGTTTTTACATTCATCCTCCAAATCCCTGAAAAATTCAATGACAGGTTTGATGTTTTGCTTCTTCTGCGTGTTTTTGTAAAAAGGAGAGCAAGTTCTCCTTGTTTTCCAGTTCCTTTATTGGGTGCACATCACCTGTAGCCTTAACCTTAAGTTTATTTCTGGGATATGCTTAGGCTGATACAAAATAAACAATGATTGCTGTATATGCTTTGTACACAGGTATGGCAGTAGAATTTTCCGTGAAGGAGGGCACATTGTGGATCCAGAGCAGGTACACGCGCTTTGTAATTCTGAACTCTTCATAGTTGAAAAGTGTAAACTATACTGACAATGATCAACTTTTGTCAGGGGGAGTTCCTCTGTCCTGTCTGCCGTGGACTTGCAAATTCTGTGCTTCCGGTATCCTCCAGAGACTTGAGAAGGATTTCTCAGCCATCCGCTTTTTCAACTGTTGACTCTACGTACGCTAATAGCCCTTCAACATCACCTGAGAGAGATGCCAGTTCACTTCGTCTCCAAGATGCTTTATCTATCTTAAAAAGCGCAGCTGATGTTGCTATAAGTAACGAGATTCAAAATGTTTTTCCAGTGCAGCAAAATGTGGGGATAAGGCCAGATCTTGAACCTATACTCCGTGTATTATCTGGAATGTACTTTCCAGGCCAAGATAAGATGTTAGGATCCAATAGGATAAGTCATGCAATAGTTTTATGGGATGCACTAAAGTACTCCATCATATCAGCCGAAATTGCTGCTCGATCTAGAAACAATTCGTCCCGTGCAAATTACAGCCTCAGTGCTTTATACAAGGAAGTCAACTCCTCAAATGGTTTTATATTATCCTTGTTACTAAATGTCGCACAAAGCTTGCAAACAGAGAATTCACTTTGTGTCCTTCTAAGACTAAGAGGCAGTCAGCTCTTTGCTGAATCCATTTGCTCTGGCACTTCTCCAAATAAATATCCCGGCTATAGGTGGAAACAAGGAGGTATGATCTCGGTTAATGAATTGATTAAGTTCCAAGAAATTACCACAGACTGTACTAGCTCAGGATCTTTTGAATCTGTCCACTCAAAAGTAGAAATTCTTGCAATCAGTAAGTGGAAGGTCAAAAAACAAGGTTTACTTAAATGATTTGAAGATGATCTGAAATCTGATATTCAATTCTTGTAGTGCTCTAGCCTGAGATTGATATTTGCTCAAGTTGGTGGTAGAAATATTATAGCTGCAATATTTCAACACACAGAGTTAATGATTTTATCATATGGAGATATATATGTAATTTGTCTAATTCGGTTGTGTTGTTCTACTCCTGTCTATTATTATCTTTTATCAAAGGAGGGCGATATGATAAATTAGTTTTTGCTAGGAAAAATACATTGGGATGGACTGTAAAACGGGGGGAGAAATATTTTGGAAATAGGTATAGTGGCAGTATATGCAATTAGTACAAAAAGGTTCATGCTATTTAATGTTATGCTGTAGTGGATATATCTTATCACTGTACTCATGAAACTTGTTTCATTATTTGACCCAAAATTTATTTAGGCAGTTTAGTACTCTTCTCTCTGTTGTGGTGAGGGGTGGAGTCATGGATCCTCTCAAATTCTTATTATCTCCAATTGCATTGAACTGAATTATTCACCTCAAATTTGATGGGCTGACATGATTTCCACATGAATGCATAACGAGTGATTAAAATGTGAGGGAGTGGTACTTGGGCGGAGTCAAATTCTTACACTCTCATGGTAGAAGTTGTATCACCTGGCACAGTCTTTCTCTGTTCTTTAGCATTTTGAGCTTGCATTCAGTTAAAAATGTGTTGTTTGCAATAAAATTCACAGGTAATATGCTGTATATTCTGGAAAATGCTGAAGCAGAAGTACAATATCCAGACATCAAGTTTTGGGAACATGTGTCCGAACCTGTCCTTGCACGAGATGCATTTTCGTCATTAATGTGGACATTCTTCTGTCTTCCACGGCCATTTTTATCGTGCAAGGAGTCCTACCTGTCTCTTGTGCATGCTTTTTATGTTGTTAATGTAACTAAGGTAAAAAAAAAAAAAAAAAAAAAAATTCTCATTTTTTTGGATATTGATGCAGTTGTACTACTCTGATGTCCTAACTATATTATCTTTTGCAACAGGCCATAATTACTAATTGCAAAAAGTGGCGATATGATAGAAGTGACTTTGGAAGCCATGATTGCTTGATTGCTGACATCTACAAATTTATAGGTGAACATGGAGAAGCTCAGCAAGATTGTGATCCTAACAATATAAATCCTGCTTATGACGTCAAGGACGCAATCCGTAGCCTGAGCTTTCCTTACTTGCGTAGATGTGCATTCCTTTGGAAACTAATAAACCATTCTAATCCAGTGCCATTTAGCGATGAGGCTAACCAGTTGGATGCACAGTTATATGCGGCCGGAGATGTGGAGGGTGATAACATTGAGCTTTCTGAGGTTGAGAAACTTGAGAAGTTGTTCAGTATCCCCCCACTTGGTGTCATTATTGGTGATGAAAATTCACGGTTGGTAGCCTTGAGATGGCTGCATCATTTATTTGATAGGTCAAAAGCTCATAAATTTTTCAGTGTTCTGAAATGTACGCCTGCAGTCCCATTTAACTTGATGCTTTTGCCTCGTCTTTACCAGGATCTATTGCAGAGGTTAACTTCTAAATGCCTAACATAGTTATGTTCTTCCGTTGATGTATGAATTCATCAATCACTTTGGAAGTTTGACATCAGGTACATTAAAAAACATTGCCCTGATTGTGGAACTGTTCCGGAGGAGCCTGCATTGTGCTTGCTTTGTGGTAAATTGTGCTCTCCAAACTGGAGGACATGCTGCAGGTTAGTTCCCCTCAAATTATGTTATCCTTTATTCATATGCATGCTTTCATTTTTGGTGGAGTAAGTATATTGCACTCTACTGATATGTGCTTGAAACTGCTCATATGTTCTTAAGGGAAAATGCTTGTCAAACTCATGGAATGGCCTGTGGTGCTGGTATTGGGGCGTTCCTATTGGTTAGAGTATGTTTTTACCTTTTGATTTTGTACTAGAGGCTAGGCATCTAATTTATTCATTGTGTCATCTTTTTGGATGTGAGCTTGAGTGTTCTTACAGATTATAATTGACATCCACAACGTTTTCATTACAGAGAACTACTATCTTGCTTCAGAGATCTGCACACCAGACACTTCGACCATCCCCCTATTTGGATGCATTTGGTGAAGAGGTAAACTGGTTCTTCCAAGAGCTTTTTTTTTCCTCCGGTAATTTCTTTGTATTTGTTCAGAAAGTCTGGTTCTACCTTAACCTTCCATGTCGGAGTCAAGGACCATTAAGTGTGCTTGTCTGCCATTTCCTCTGATGCTGTGCTCAACGTGTTTGTACAAGTCTGAAATATCCTTTAATTGAACTAGGTTTTGCATGTGTCTTATTATCTGCGTGGCTCAGCTTTTCTGGACTCCTAATTTATCTAGCTATTGTTAATTTACCAATATCCAAAATTTGAGAAAAAAATGAAAGCTAAAATGACCATTAACATGCACATATTGTAATATAAGAGACAGTTGAACAGCATTGTTATGTTCTTTCAAAGTCTGATCTTTGGAATGGTTGGTAACTGTCTAGGTTATTTGTTAAGGAGTTGAGCCTTTCAAATCTCATACAAAGAGCTATGTTACCATTCTGCAGCATTATTCTTTCTATCTAAAGTATTCATCTTCGGTTTTGCAATTGGCAATTGCCTAGTTTCTCTCTTAAGGAAATGAAACCTCTTAAATATCAAATCTGTATTTTCATGGACTAATCCTTGAACCCATGCATCTTCTTTGTGTTACTGAATTGGTACTCTAAGTTGCAGTTTTGATAAATCAAGACTCAAGATGGTGACAATCTAGTTTGGGAATATTTGAAGGGCTGCTTGAGTTTATATCACCTATAATGGAAAATGAGCCTCTCATTCTGATTAAGTGCCTTCTGTAATGGAAAATGAGCCTCTGATTCTGATTAACTGCCTTCTGTAAACCCAGATTGTCTCCATGGATTCTTAGCAAGAAAGAAATCTCCTGACATTGAGGAATATCTTATTGCTGGATTATTACTTAATAGTTTTTACATGGCTAAAGGTTTTATTATATCAAAATCTTGAAATTCTCCAAAGAACTCGATATATATGTGTGCAGTAGCCTATTAATTGTCTATTGTAAGTATATTAAAATTCTGTTGTTTCCTGTTTGTTGTTGAACAAGCTTGCATGGTCTTTACATCATCCTTTTTAGTAAATTCATTTTCATCAATCATGGAAAGGTTTTACTGCATCAAAGTCTTGATATTCTTCAAAGAACTCGACATATATGTGTGTAGTAGCCTATTAATTGTTTATTTCAAGTATACTAAAATTCTGTTGTTTCCTGTTTGTTGATAAAAATCAAAATATCTTTTTTTCTTGAATTTTGGGGGGGGGGGGGGGTTGGGTTGTTTTGTTGAGGTGGACCAGGGGTGGTAGATGGGAGGAGAACACGCTGTTTCTCTAAAGCAGGTAATGTTGGTTCCGAGGGTTAGCACTAGAGCGGGTGAATACATTATGGCAAACTCAAACCTTTCAAACCCAACTTGTCTAAGTATGAGAATACAACAAAATTAATTTGTTAAGCAATATAATTTACGATAAATCAAGTTTCTTTCAGATAAATGAGGATAATAGACAGATTTATAATGCTTGCGGAATGACCAAACATATTCTTGTTAAGACAAGGTATATTGAATCAGTTGCTGCTGAAAACCTTTCAAACTTATTCTAAAGACCAATCATTTAGTTAATTTACTACTAGAAATAAACTCAAAATGATATATGGCATGCAATAATGTTTTGCTGCAATCTAAGCACGTGTGAATTCAGTTAGATGGACAGAATTAAAGGCTGAAGCCTGTCTGGCCAAACGGAGGGAGAAGAGTATTGGAATGTGTCTGGACCAAAAGCTCCTTTTGGACATTGGAGTCACATATTCTAAATGAAACTTCAATTACTTCTTTGAATGCGTGATCTATAGTTTTGGTGGATGTATGAAGTTCTGATACTTTTGAGTTAAACTTCAAAGTTCCTCTACTTTTGAACTCTAAAGCAACTTTGGGATGACTAAACTATCTAGAAGGGGTGCATTGGTGCATTTTTCGCGTTTTAGCTCCAATACCCCTTCTCTCTGCCCTCATCCTGAATATTTTCTGGTCAATAATTTTGGTCTTTTTTTCCTTAAAAATAATTTGATCTTTACCTTTCTTTTTATCCTAGTAACTTATGATTCTGCATTTTAGGTGGCCTCTCATGGGCACGATCCAAGTTCAGAGATGTTTCGTCAAACAACAAATGGAATTGGTGCATTTTTCGTGTTTTAGCTCCAACATATTTAACAGAAAATATTCTCATGAAGGTCTGATTTTAAACTTAGATTACATTCACTATATTTTTACTGTTGGCCATATTCTGTTTTCTTGCAAGTATTAGTGGGAATAGTTGTTTTATTAGTTGCTGACCAGATTGCAGGTAGTATAGCATTTTGAATCTTGATGCCAAATGCCAATATTTCTATGTATCCATATTCTGGTTCGACGAAATGGATACCAAAATTGGTGGTGGCGTTTGTCATCAGACATACAGCTCATTGAGGTTAGGTTGGTTATTAATATTTATCTCACGCTTTCTATTGTTTTGGGGTAAAATCTTATTCACGACTTCTGCCTTGAGGTTCATGATAATTGCATTTTGCAACTGTTTGTCTCTTTCCTTATTAGAGGAATGTTAGGGATAACTCTCATTGACCAATTATCGCTGTAAGTCAAAGACTATACTGCTGATGACTTTTATGGTAAATTGCATTTCAAGAAGCATATTTTAAGGCGACTCTCTCTCTCTGAGACTGAGTATTGAAATTTTATGCACAATAATAAAGAGATGAAACAGAAAAATTAACACATGTACGTGGTTCGACAATGTGCCTACGTCCATGAGGAGCGAAGTGGAGATAATTTTTATTCAGTATGAATAATAGGGTTATATCATTAATACAAGGGTATTTACGTGATTCGACGATGTGCCTCCATTTCGTTCGGTACGTTACGCTCCCCTCACTCCTCTCCGCTTTGCTTCGACGTCGGCCTATCTGATCTAATGAACCCGTGTTCCACTCCATAGAAGTTACATATACAACAACCTCCACCTTAACAAATATTCACCCCTTAGGATAAAAATATAACTTGGGAAACCACACCATCTAAGATCAATGAGTTGGGACACATCCTCTCTAACACCTAGAGATATTAATCAAGTTCAAACAATGCTTGAACCTATCCATTGTGATTGGCTTTGTCATCATGTCTGCTACATTCTCTGAGGTATGCACCTTCTCTAACAACAACTCTCCTGAAGTAACCAACTCTCTTATCTTATGAAATCTCACATCAATGTGCTTGGTTGAAACAGAAAAATTAACACATGTACGTGGTTCGACAATGTGCCTACGTCCATGAGGAGCGAAGTGGAGATAATTTTTATTCAGTATGAATAATAGGGTTATATCATTAATACAAGGGTATTTACGTGATTCGACGATGTGCCTCCATTTCGTTCGGTACGTTACGCTCCCCTCACTCCTCTCCGCTTTGCTTCGACGTCGGCCTATCTGATCTAATGAACCCGTGTTCCACTCCATAGAAGTTACATATACAACAACCTCCACCTTAACAAATATTCACCCCTTAGGATAAAAATATAACTTGGGAAACCACACCATCTAAGATCAATGAGTTGGGACACATCCTCTCTAACACCTATCGATGTTGATTAAGTTCAAGCAATGCTTGAACCTATCCATTGTAATCGGCTTTGTCAACATGTCTGTTGCATTCTCTGAAGTATGCACTTTCTCTAACAACAGTTCTCTTGAAGTAAGCAACTCCCTTATCTTGTGAAATCTTACATCAATATGCTTGGTTCTTGTATGATAAATCTGATTCTTTGCTAAGAAGATGGCGCTCTGATTATCACAATATAGCTTCATTCCATCTTGCTTGATCCTGAGCTTCCTAGCAAGACCTCTCAACCACAATAATTCCTTGGCTGCCTCAGTTGCTCCCATGTACTCTGCTTCAGTTGTGGATAATGTCACATGTGACTGCACCATTGATCTCCAACATATAGGCCCACCTACGAGTGTGAAAACACAACTTGTATGGGACCTTTTGTCATTCAAGTCGCCTGCATAATCTGCGCCTACGTATCCCTGAATTGAAACATCATGTTTCTCAATCATGATCCCACATTCCATTGTACCTCTCAAGTACTTGAAAATCCACTTTATAGCTCTCCAATGTTCTCTGTCGGGATTAGCCATATACTTGCTCACCACGCTGACTGCATGTGCTAGATTTGGTCTGGTGCACACCATTGCATACATCAAACATCCAACTGTACTAGCATAAAGCACTTTTGACATCTCTGCAATTTTTTCTTCATTTTTTGTGCACTAATTACTAGACAATTAGAAGTGATTTGCCAATGGTATATCCACTGTTTTTATATCAGACATGCTAAACCTCTCCAACACTTTCTTCAAATAATTTTTCTGACATCTATAATTTTCTAGCCTTCCTATCTTAGTAGATGGACATGACAAGAATCTTCTTAGTTGATCCCAAGTCTTTCATATCAAACTTACTACTCAACGAAGACTTCAATTTGTCTACTACATGTTCTTAGCAGCAATTAACATGCCATCCACATACAACATCAAGAAAATATATGAATCATCCTCGAGAACTCTGTAGTAAACACAACAGTCATATTCACAACGACTATAGCCAATCTGAATCATGTGGGAGTCGAACTTCTTGTACCATTGTCGTGGAGACTGCTTAAGTTCATATAAAGATTTCTTCAGTTTACACACAAGATTATTTATTCAGGGTTCCAAGAATCCCTTTGGCTGCTCGTGAAAATCTGCTCCCCCGATTCACCATGAAGGAAAACAGCCTTCACATTCAGTTGCTCTAACTCCAAATCAAAACTAGCACCATTAACAAGACAATCCTGATAGAAGTGTGACGATCGGATAGAAAATTTCATTATAATCGACTCTCTTCCTTTGCTAGTATCCTTTTGCTAGTAACCGACCCTCGTATCTTTTCCCTTCATTTTCTGACATTGCTTCTTTCTTGTACACCCACTTAGCTGATGTTCGTTGTTGGCTAGGCTTGACTTGAGCCACCGGCTTACCCAATTTTTAGTGGATCATGCTTCGGTTGGTATTAAGCTTTCCATTTCTTTGCGACTTTGGAACGGATGGGACTTGTTCTTTAGTGTAGTCATAGGTATTACCACCAGAATGCCTATGATATAGTGATGGCCTTTCGAATGCGTCATTCCTTACTTTTCTGAGAAGCCCTTTACATAAAGGAAATGGGGCTGTTCACCTTTAGAAACTTAGTTACTTAAGTACTACTCATAAAGTAAAGGCGAACAGGGTCTATCGGTTCTTCCCCCTGGAAGCTCCACCAAATTCCAGGTATCATTTTATGCAATGACTCAATTTTCTCCATCATAGCCTCTATTCATTTACTTTTCTCCTTACTACCAACATCATCCTGAAAAGTTAGAGGATCGCTATTATTGGTAATAAGTGCATAAGAAATTGAATCCTCGAATCCATACTTCACTGGTGGTCTGATAGTGTGACGCGGTCTATCTATGGCCATACTATGATACTGCTCCCTTTGTGAGCCAAAACTGTCCACTCCTTGAGCATTAGTCTCCATGTCAATAATGTTTAGCTCTACTTGCACCACTTGGCTCTTGCTGTTTCCCTCACCTGAACTGAGCTTTTCTTCATCTAGAGAAGTTTTAAGCATGAATGCTTCATTAAAGATTGCATCGCTACTTATCACCACCTTCTTCACCTCTGGATCCCAAAACTTGTACCTTTCTACACCTTTTACATAGCCTAGAAAAATGCACTTTCTTGATTTCGGATCAAGCTTGATCTCCGATCACTAGATACATGCAGATAAGCCGGACTCTCAAATACTATCAATCCAGAATAATCAATTTCATTATCTGTCCAAACTTTCTCCGCAACTTTCCCATCTAATGCTGCTCATGGTGATCTATCTATGACAGAACATGCCTATGTTCACCGCTTCTGCCCAAAAACTCTTAGAAAGCCCTACATTCAGCCTCAAAAATCCTTTTCCGTTTTGCAATTGTTCCATTCATCCTCTCCGCTGCACTATTTTGTTGCAATGTCTTGCGAACTGTATAGTGCCGTTGAATACCATGCTCCTCACGAAATTTCAAAAATTTTGAATCTGTATATCGTGTATCGTTATCTGTTCTGAGATACTTAATTTTCCTGCCTTTTGATTCTCTACTGCTTTCCACAATCTGAACTTTGCAAAAGTTTCAGACTTATGCTTCATGAAACATACCAACTTTTCTAGAGAAGTCATCAATGAAAGTAATGAAATGCTGAGATCCACTTTTGAACAATTCCCTCACTGGTCTTCGAGCTTTAGAATGCAAATAATCAAGAATGCCTCCTATCTTGTGCTTTCCTGTCTTGAACTGTACTCTGTACTCTGAACTGTTTTTCAAGCACACAGAACTTGCAGAATTCCAGCTGGCATAATTTTACCCCTTTAAACAAATTCCTCTCGTGAAGCTCAATTTTACCACGTTCTCCTATATGTCCCCGTCGCATATGCCATAGGAGAGTGTCATTTGACTTAAATTTTGCTGTAGCAACTCCACCTACATTTGTATTCCCTAGTAGTTTGTAGATGTTCCCTGCAATTTCTGACCCTTCATCACACTCATAACCTCTTTCTTCATTGTCAAAGTCCCACCCTCGGACTTATAAGAATAGCTGCCGTTGTCTAAAGTGCCAAAAGAAATTAGGTTCTTTCTCAGCTCTCGTACATGCTTAACATCTTCCAAAGTCCTTACTACATCGTTGAACATTTTAAATTTTATGGATTTCATTCCAATGACATTACATGATGCATCATTACCCATCATAATAGATCCAAAATTACCTAAACAATATGAATCTAACCAATCCCGATGAGGATACATGTGATATGAACAGGTTGAATCAAGTACCTAAGAGTCATGTAATCTGTCAAAATTAACTACAGAGATTGATAGTACGTCTCCATCCCCTGAATCTGAGTCTTCTTCTGTAACACTAGCCGAGTTTGAGGACCCATTACCTTTCCTTTCATCACCTTTCTTATTTGGACAGTCCTCCTTAAAATGACCCATCTGATGGCACTTATAACGCTTGACATTTTTCTTATTTTGATTCATGTATTTTGATCTTGTATTCCCTTTGTAAGAACCACCCTTATCCTTCTTTCTCCCACGATCTTGACCTCTTTACGATCAACCCTTCACCTTGCGAACTTTTGCCAGTACGCAGTTTCCGTTGGTTGTAGGGCCAATAGGGCTGATGTAACTTCCTCTAGTTAGAGTATTTTTATTCCACGTCAACATGGTCACCAGGTGGTTGTACGGAGGAAGAGAGCACGGCAATATCATTACCTTGTCTTTGTCATCAAACTTAATTTCTAGTCGTAACAAATTGCTGATAATTTGATTGAACACACTGGTGTGTTGAATCAGATCCGTACCCTCAAGCACCTTGAGCTCGTACAGCTGCTGTTTCAGAATCTCAGATGCAACTTGTTCGTGAGAGACTTCGACATATAACGACTCTCCAATTTTTGCTAAAGCTTCGCCGAAGACGACATCCATGACGAGATACATGATTTCATCCGCCTAACAAAGCCGAATTGTATCCATTGCTCGCGCCTTGAGCTTTTTCTAATCGACATCTGACGTACCCTCTAGTTTCTTTTTGGATAGCTCCTTCACCCTCTTTTGTTGCTTCAACAAATCCTTCACCCTTGACATAATTCGAAATTCCCAAATTCGTCGAACTTCATCACATCGAATTTTGTGAAGAACTTGCCATATAAACTTGGTGCTCTGCTCTATTTGGTGCGCTACTCTCCCATCACTTCGTTCCACTTCAGCATTGGCCTATTTGATCCAATAAACCTTTGTTCCACTCTATATGAGTCACACATACAACACTGAGCCTGTGTGTTGTGTGATTTTATTTGCAAGAACAATCCCACTTGTTCTGTTGCTGTCTTTTTGGCACGTTGAATGCCAAACTCATGTTATCAGTGTTGGGTTGTTAAGGGATAAAATCCTATATCGAGTAAAGCTGAAAACATATACCTACTTATAAAGGATTTGACTACTTCTCTTAACAAGATTAACCTTTTAAACCCCAAGTCATAACATGGAATCAGAGCTTAGGTTATCAACAAGTCTCGGCCCAACAGTCCAAGGGAGATATGAGTTTGCTCCCACCTAGGGCCCGATGTATGAGGGGGAGATTGTTGAGATTATCCCACATTGTCAGGGAGGGAGGCTTGTGGTCAGCTTATAAATACGAGGGAAAACCTCCCTTCTTCGGCTAGCTTTTGGGGTTGAGAAGGCCCAAGAAAGAATTCTATTGTGGAAAGGAAAATAGAATTTTTGTTTGACAATAAAAGGGAAAAAGAAAAGATTAAGGAAAAAAGTCTTATAATATTTAAATAGAAGGAAACTTGCTAGAAGAGTTCAAGTATCTTTCCTATAAGTTTATGGCATTGCATTGATAAGAATTTTGCTTGGCACCAAGGTGAAGTGAATTCTGGCAGAGAATTACGTGCATCCAAAATTGTGAGAGCCTAGAGAGAAAATGTAAAGAGAGAAACTAGAAAATAACAATAAACGCAGGTTTGCAGTGTACATCGTTGTTCAAGTTTTGTATAGTGAGAAGTTGTGAGAGTGAGGAAAACATAATAGTGTGATTTTTTCTTAGTTTATATAAAAGTTTTCTTCTCCTGTGGTCATCGTCGGTTCCTCGTACCACACGGCTATGTTTTTCTTGTTTTGCCTTGTTTTCGTTTTTTTTTTTTTAAATTTCCGCTGCGATCAGGGGGATTCTTTTTTTCCCAAAAATCAACTATAAGAAAATAAGAAACTCAAAACGGACGGGGGGACTATATATGTTGTCAGATGGACAAGCTTCCTGCCCTTCATCAGCCAAATTGTCAGTACAGCTGTTTTCTTCCCTGCAAGAGTAGACCACACTACATATTCCTGTTTCTGTGATTATTTGTAAGGCTGCTGAATATACGTGCTTATTTGTTGAAGAGGAACCGTAGAATCTGGAATGGCTGTATTTTGTTCTTTCCCACCCTAATTATCAGCATGCAAAAAGCGTTACTTCCGGTTTAGTTAACTACAACTATTTTGCTTGGACGGTTACATATTGTCGTCCTTAGTCATCTTCATGAACCATGTTTAGTTGTTATACAGTCTTTTGGAGAACTCTAAATAATCCACTTTTTCATTGACTTCTTCCATCTGGTAAAGGCAGCTTATCGTGATGTTTTTACAGGCAATCTGGATTTTCCATCTTGGAGTTGAAAGCTTGTCGTGATGATAGTTGTTCTTTTACAAGTAGTTCATTTTGCCTTTGTGTACAGCTAGTGCCTAGTTGTATATCATCTGAAAGAATCCTCCTTGGTTGTTTTGCAATAGCTTGACTATGTTCAGTTTCTTGACCCTGGTGTATTTTGCCCATGTTGTTATGCAATATCTTGACTATCCTTCTTAATTATTTGTTAATTTCTTATTGTGAGTAATTGAAATTCAATTGCTTGATTATAATTTTTTGATTTAAGGACAATATTGAGATCGGGAGGAGATATATTTGATTTATTTGTACAATAAGTGACATAAGTCTTATGAGAGATTGAAAGAAGATTAATGTAATCATGATTGAATACGGTTAGTTTTGCTCGAAAGCATTACTAACTAAAATGATTAATTTGGTTGTTAATATATATGAAAAACGGACTGAATGAATTTGGATTAGATGAATGTTAAAGCTATATATTAAGTCAAAATGAAATTCCTAACCACTTAATCTCAATAGTTCTCCACTAATTATGTTTGTTAGGTTAATTTAGATTAGTTTAGTATAAATTAGTTCTAAATTAAAAATCTTTATTGGTTAATAGGTCATCCCCACATTAGTTGAGATTGAAGCAAGATTATAACGAAAACTAATAATAAATACTATGGAAACGATATTTGTATTCAAATTTCATTTTATTATTTATTAGAAGCCATACATTTACAGAAACAAGATCGAGTTTTTGATGACATTGTTGGAGACTAATTTATTTACTTTTGTTGTTAAATCTAGCTTTGATTTAAATTGTTGTCTTTTTCTTTTTCAAGCTAATCTACTTATTTTTCTTGGTTTCATTGATGGGGAACGATAGAAAGCAAGGTCGCATCAAGAACATGAGATGGTAGATCCCAAAATTGATGAAGATGACTCGCCTATGGAAGTTCTCTCCATTCTACCTCGCTTTAAAATGAAGGGGTATGATTCACTTAATAAAGTTGATGAGGTTGCTTGCCTTTTGGGGGATACTATGGGGACTATCAAGTTTTCAAGTACATGGTGTAAACCATGTTGATGAGAATGATTCGCCATCTATGGGCATTACCGGAATACCAAGTACATGATGAACAACACAATCCATTTGAGCAAACATACAATCTAAGTTGGAAGCAACACTAATCTCTATTGGTTGGAATGTCAAAATATTGAAAATCCCACCAATTCTCAACAAGGGATCCTTCTCATGAAAAATTTCTTGTGCAGTTGTCCGAAATTTGGATATTAGACTGATTTAAATTCGAGGAACAAACAACAAAAGAAGAGCATGACGAGATCATGAAATTAATTATCAACGAGTACAAAAGAATTAGTAGCATTCAACGAAGATAGACTTAGTTGACAACCCTCCAACTTTATTGTTTGCTCAAAAAATAATTGTGAGTAAACATGATGAGCTTATTGAAGTATATATTGTTGAGTTCGAATTGGGGGACGACAAGTCATATTACTTTGAAAGGGGCAAGATAATTGCTTATTGATTCAACATTTGACTTAAGCAAGTTAAGTAGGACCTCCAAAGCTATATTAAAGTGTCATAAAGCAGTTGTCCAATAGTTGAGCTTGAGACAAAATCAAGGACATAATGGGAAAGTAACACATTTTTCTAAATTTAACTCTTGAAAATTTTTAGTTATTGCATGGAATATAGATAATAGAATTGCATTTAGTACTTAGACATGTTTAAATATTATCTAGTAAATTTTTTAGGGCGAAAATGGCCTGTTTGTTGCGTCAACCACAATTGATCATAGTCAAAAGAAAAAAAATTATAAAAAATATTCATAAGTCATTTTGTATAACACTCCACATTACCCATGACTTCTTAGAAGAGCAAAATGTTCTAAAACCTTTTGGGGCAAAGCTGTGTCAAGATCAAAACAAATTATACAAGTTAATTGAAAAATATTCATTCATTTTTAAGATTCAAGCCAACAAATTGGATTTCACAACTTTCTTCATTATTTTTTCTTTCCGGGTGATTTTTTCCAATATTTCTCGTATAATTTAATTATTAGAATGCTAGGCTAGTTTTTCTATTGTATTAAATAAATGATGAACTCTATTACATATTTGTTTTGATTTAAGACTATGAACTTAGTTATTTCTTGATTTTCTTGATTGATTTTGCATGCCCATTACATTATTTAATTGATTGTCCACCAATTGAATAATTAGTTGCTTGTTGTAGCGTTGGAGGTTCACAATAAGTTTAGAATGCAACAAAATGAACATATGTAGATAGAATTAGGAATAATCTTTATCACATATGCAATCACATAGATAATATATAATTTAATGCATTTTGGTCATATGAATTCTAACTAGGAATAGTATCTGTTCGTGATTGGGATACATTTAATTCATCTTGGAAAAGAGAATTAAATACACTAGTGTTATCGATTGTCACGAAAGCATGAAGTTGACTAGATTACAAATCAAGAGTTAAAATAAATGGCAATAGGGGGATTCACAAATCCAATACAAACATTCATAATTTGATAAATATTTTATTTTATTTTATTTTTTTAGTTAAGGATTAGTATAGAACACATAAAAAAACAACTCTTTTGATTCTATATTACTTCGAATTTAATAAAAGCTATTGAACTAGAATTATACCTTATTTCTTGTGGGACGAAAACTCACAACTCACTTTATTATTACTTGTCAATGATTCCGTATGTTTGCAGGTTTCACGAGAACAGCTGCTAACTTTTACTAGGAGATATGATAATTCGATGTGAATAATGCTTTCATCATTGTAATCTGGAAGATGATATATGGAAGTCCAATCGTGATTCACGAGAAGCCTAAAAAACAACAAAATGTGCAAGCTGAAAAAGGCATTCATCTAGAGCCTCGCTTGGAAGATTCACAAAGGTATTGCTAATGTTGGAACAAAAAAAGCCAAAGAGATCACACACTATTTATTAAACACTCGACATCACACATGGATGCATATAGCATACAAAGTTAGTGTAATTAGTTAGTTCATCAGTTATGTAAAGAAGTGTACTCACAAGCAATCTATCGAGTGATGTGCTACTTAAAGAGTAACAGGAAAATTAATTTTATATAGAAGAAACTTAAGACTATTACTTGAGGTATTCACAGATGCAGTCTATGAAGGCTTAGTGGTAGATATAAAATCCACATTCGACCCTTGTACTTTCTTTAGAGGTAATCTTGTGTCTTGGAGGAGTAAGAAACAATATGTGGTTAGCCAGGTCAAGTGCCGAAGCAAAATTTAAAGCAAAGGCAAGGAGTATTTATGAGCTACTATGGTTGAAGATCATCTTAGAGGACTTGAAGATTAAGTGGGATAGAACTATGAGACTTTACAGTGATAACACACTATTAATATTGTACACAACCCAGTTTCACCATGGCAAAACTAAACCATTTGAGATAGACAAATGTGTCCACTATAGATCAATTAGCTTATGTATTTACAAAAGAGTTGAACAGTATAGTGTTTCAGACACTTGTTTCCAAGCTAGGAGAAAAAATGCCTATTTGGTGCTTGAGGGGGAGTGTTCAAAATAAAGTATATGTTATTAAGTTTTCTATTTAGTTGTATAGTGTTACGTGTTGTCATACTTGGCCAGTCTACTTGGACCTATGGCCCACTTAATCTAAACCACGTGGCGCTCTAGCTGAGGTGGTTTGTATGGCCAAGACCCTTCATGCCGAGGCCTATATGTCGAGGCCTGTGAAGATAGCCGAAACTCTAAAGCGGAAGTACTAAGTGAGTGGCAGAAGCCCCAAATCCGAAGCCGAAGCCTCCGAACCATGAAGGAACGTCTTTCATGATCACTTCTCCTAAGAGATCTTTTGCATAAAGATCTTGTTAGAATGATTGATGGAACGTTTGTCATAAGTGTACATGTCAAGTCTTGTCATTAGTATGGGGGTTCTGCATAAGCAATAAATGCGCAGCAAGCTAGCAAGTCAAGGATGATGCCTAGGATTGGATGTTTGGATTAAAGAGATGAGGCTACGTGCCACCTCATCTGAAAGCTGCTATTTCACATGTACCACTATAAATACTTCCCTTGTGTAACATTGAAGGACTAATGCAAGAATCAATACAAGAAACTACACTTTACTCTCTCTTTCATATTGCTTTACAACACAATACGAGTTCATACATATTTACATGCACATTCATGAGCACCGATTGGTAATTATTGTACAATTGGATCACGAACATTCCGTCGGATTCCGAAAGTTCTCGTTCCGCGTCGTTGAGCTACTCCCACGCCCCTGATCCGTTCGTCCTAAACCGTCCACGTGTCTTAGCGTGTAGAACCTTCGCTCACGTGTGCGCGAGTGGGTCCGGCATCTGTTGGCAACATTTTTTGGGGTCAACATATAGTAATGTAAATTCTAGGATATTAATTCTTATCGGGAGTAATTAGAGAATTTTATTTATTTCCTTTAGCTAGTTGACCTAAGTTTGTTTAAATCTTGGTTTATTTTCTGACCGAGTAAGACACAAAATTATCCTCATTTTACCACAGAGACAATTCTTGAATTCTAGTATAATGACTAATTCGAACGTTTGACTGTCCAAATCAAGCCTGAGTGAGTCTTACTCTCACTTAAAGTTAACGGTAAACGTTGTATTACCAACAGTGTAAGACATTCTATTTGAGCCTGAGCAAACTCAACATTATTATGCTCGAATGAGGTGAAGATTCCCTTGAGCATGAATTTGTCCTCAGACAAAATTATGTTAAAATTCAGTAATTACTCACATTGCCTTGACTCGAACATTAAATAGAAGTAAGGTTTGAGCGAGAATAAGACTTACTTGGACTTCACTCGACTTGAGACTATTAAGCTTCGACGACCCTTGGGATGAATTATTTTATTCTAAAACAAGGCTAGCATTTGAACTTGACTCGAGATTTCTCAAACAAGGTTAAGACTTAGGTTTAACTCAACCTTTAGAAGAATTCAGGCTCACATGAGTTCGAGACACGCTTGGGCTCGATTCTGCCTTTAAAGGAATTATGCTCGAAGGAGGTCGTGACTTTTAAGGCTTCAATCAGCCCTTGGGATGAATTATTTAACGTAAAAACAAATTTGAGAATTTAGCGGCAAACCCAGAAAATTTGGGTTGGAGGTCACAATCAAATTTTCAAATGGTAGGTAAACCGTAATTGGTAAAACAGTCCATAGTCGGCAGATTAGGGGAGAGAGAGAGATATATATATATAAATGCATAAAG